AGAGAGAGAGAGAGAAGAGAGAGAGAGACGGAAAGCTGACAGTCGGCATGACGGAAATCTAGGCACACAAAGATCACGGCCTGCAGTTCCGCACCTACGTCCCCCTGCTCATGGACCTCCTCGAAGACGCCGACGGAATGGTGCGCGACCTTGCCAAGGCCACTGTTATCGAGCTCTTCAAGAACGCCCCCAACGGTGCCAAGTCGGACCTCAAGCGTCAGCTGAAGAACTTCAAGGTCCGGCCCGCCATCGAGCAGGCTATCGTCAAGTCCCTGACTCCGTCTACCTCGCGACCGGGGACCCCCGCCGACGCCCCGCCCGCGCGCTCCACCCTCGCCGTCAGCACGTCCTCCGCCGTGGAGCGTCCCGTCACCCCGGCCGCCGAACCTCCCCGGGCTGACAGTGTCGAGCCCCAGTACGTCAACACCCACCGAGAACTCGACGACATATTCAAGGAGATGGCCTGGTGGTTCGAGGGTAAGGAGACGGAACAGAACTGGAGCAAGCGCGAGGAGAGCGTGGGCACCCTCCGCCGACTCAACGCCGGCAACGCCCCGTCCGACTTCCTCGACACCTTCGTCCCTGGTCTGCGCGCTATGCTGGACGGCATCATCAAGGCCGTCACCTCGCTCAGGACCAGCCTCTCCAAGGAAGGCTGCTCCCTCGTCCAGGATCTGGCCATGACCCTCGGCCCGGCCATGGACCCCCTGGTGGAGCTTTTGATGCAGACCCTCATCAAACTGTGCGCCGCTACCAAGAAGATTGCCTCGCAGCAGGCCTGCCAGACGGTCGACATCATCATCTCCAACGTCTCGTACAACCAGCGCTTGATGCAGCATGTCTGGGCCGCCTGCCAGGACAAGAACGTCCAGCCTCGTACCTACGTCACCGGCTGGCTCAAGACGATACTCAAGAAGGAGGCCGGCCACCGTGCTCAGATGGAGCACTCGGGCGGCGTCGATCTCATGGAGAAGTGCATCAAAAAGTGTCTCGGCGACCCGAACCCTGCCGTCAGGGAGAAGATGCGGTCCACCTTCTGGGTCTACCACAGCGTGTGGCCCGCCCGCGCCGACGCCATCAAGGACAACCTCGACGCCACCGCCCAGAAGCTGCTCAACAAGGACCCCGGAAACCCCGACGCCGCCAGCAGTGGGGCGTCCACCGCTGCCCGGCCCGGCTCCAGCCTGTCCAAGAGCACCGCCAGCAGGCCCGGACTGCGCGAGGCCGTGTCGGCCCAGAAGAGGGCCATGATGGACGCCAAGAAGAAGCTCCCCGCTCGTCCCGGTTCGGCCATGGCCCAGATCTCGCCGGCTGTCAGCAAGACGTCCGACAGCAAGACGAACGACACCGCCACAACCAGCGCCGCGACGAAACCGTCAGCGAGAGCCCGCCCGGAGTCTGGCACCGTCTCCGTCAATGCCGGCGGCATGTCCATGGCTCCGGTGCGCCCCGCCAGGAGACGTCCTGAGATGGCGCCCCGCCCCGCTACCGCCGGCCCTTACTCGGTGCGTGACCAACCTTCCTCGATGGAGGCCGACAGCCCCTCCAACTTTGTCAGGCCGTCCAAGGCCGCCGTGCCTAAGCAGCCGGCGTCCAAGGACACCACGCCCAAGAGGACGGCGGCCCCGCGCACCAGGCCCGGACACCAGTCGCACGCCAGCGAGTCTAGTATCCCGTCACCTTCCACCGCGAGGTTCAGAGCTGCTGCTGCCGCCAGCGGCGTGTCTCCTAGGGGGAGTCCGGCCAAGCTCAAGACCGTACAGTCCGCTCCTGTGCCGAGAAGCCCTGCGAGGGCAGAGCAGAAGCAGCTGCAGGAAGAGGCGGTGGAGCCTCTCGAGCCGCCGATGTCACCGCCCGTGGCAGAGCCAGCCAGCCAAGAGGAGGGGAAACAGGAGCAGCAGCCGCCGGTCCAGCCAGGGAGGGAGACTACGCCCGTCGTGGCCGTGCTGGAGCTGGAGCCCGACTTCAAGCCCCAGCCACCTGCGGGCCCTCCCCTCAAGGTGTACGAGGACCCGTTTGTCGGGGAGCCCACGACGCCCAAACCAACGTTCACGGGCCCTGTGCTGGAAGACAAGCCGGTCAACGAGGACGCCGCGATCCTGCAGCAGCAGCAGCAGCAGCAGCAGAACGCGACACTCGCCGAGCCGGGGGCGGCGATGGAGTCGCCCGAGAAGACGAAGCAGAATCTGCGTCTCGTGGACAGCGGACTGGCTAAGATTGAGGCGCGGTCGCTCGAGGTGCACGGGTTCCGCAGGATGCAGAGTCTGCTGCGCGACAGCAAGATGGTGCTGGGCAACGCCAAGATGGAGAGGCTCCTGATGGGACTGTTCAGGTACCTGGAGGACCCGATGGAGGGCACGGCGTCGGACAAGTCGCAGGACGTCAAGGCGCAGATCCTGACGACGATAAAGCTCCTGCTGACGCGGGATCCGGAGAGCTTCCGCCCCCACGTGTCCGATTGCCTCGTGTCCCTGGTACGCACGCGCAGCGCATACGACGGCAGGTCCCACATCGTTAGCGGCCTCGAGGTCCTGTCGGCCGAGCTGGCGTCCTTGGGCGACGCGTGCGAGATCGTCGTGGTGCTGTGCTCCAAGCTGGCGGGCTACTCGGACTCCTCGCCCGAGGGTTGCCGCGCGCTGAGCATGGGTCTCCTGATCATCAAGTCTCTGCTCGACAAGGCTTCTGCCACTGCTCCGTCTACCCTCCCCCTCAACGAGGGCGACCTGTCTGCGCTGTCCACCCTGACGACGCGGTGCCTCGACTCGGCCGACTCCCGCGTGCGCATGGATGCCGTGCAGCTCTGCGTGGCGCTGCACACGTGCGTGGGTGAGGCTCGCTTCTGGGACGCCCTGTCGTCGGTCAAGGATGACCCCAAGAGCCTGATCACGTACTACATCGTCAAGAAGCAGCGCGAACAGCAGAAGTAGAATCCTGCTCCGCTCCGGGTATACAGGGCTCTGTATGCTGTTTTTCGAAAGGTCAGGGCTTCACTCACAACTGGTGCGCCCCCCTTCTCTTGATGTTCTCTCCCCCCCTTTCCACGATCTATCTCGTTCCTGTTTTTCTCTCTTCTTTGGCTCTTCTTGATACCTCTTCTTCTTCTTCTTTTTACTTCCGCGACAAAGAAAAGAGAAACAAGATAACACCTAGCGTCCAAGTATGTCCTCCTAGGCTTCACGTCCTGCGTCACATCTTTCCCCCCCTTTTCTTCGTCTTCTTCGTCCTGGGGGTCTTGAAAAAACACCCCCTCTATACATTATTCCAATTTTTTAATAATAGCCCTTTTTTTCCCCTATCATGTTTGGAGAGTGAGGAAAATGGAGTACAATGAAAAAAAAAAAAGTAATAATATTACCGTACAACACTTTTCATTCGTTCTATCTTCTACGCGTACTCCTTGTCTAAAATTTCATGGGCACTTGGTATGATTTCAGAATGTGATAAAAAAGAAAAAAGCAAGGGAACAGGAGAGAAGACAAAAAAGGGTTTCTTCAAATTCCATTTCAAAGAGAAGAAAAACAAATGTGATAAAAAAATCTGCTGCTGCTGCACAAAGGAAGGGAAATAGAAAGCGTTCGTAAAATTGGACATGTAAGAAATGTACCGATTGCAAGAAGTGAAGAGGTAAAAAAAAAACAAGGTTTCGAGCCTGAAATGTAAAAAAAATAAAAATAAAAATAAAAAAGAAGGTGCTTCCAAAACCCCTTCCCTAAGCCCCCTTTACAACCAAAGAAAGAAATGAGAAAGAGAAAAAAAAAAGAGAAAAAAAGAAAAACAAATCGTTGGGGGAAAAATGACGACGTTAAGACAGAGAATCTATTCCTGCCCTATCATATCCTCCTTGTTCTTTTTTTTTTGAACCCTCCAGGTTCTAAGTATTTTTGCTGTTGCTGCTGCAAATGGGGGAATATGTTTCCAATCAATCATGGCAAGGATGGAAAGGGGATAGAGAAGAAAAGTCCAGATGAGAAGAAGAGCATCGTCATTTTGTTTGGGGGGTTGAAGACGAGAAGGAAGGACGAAAGAAAGAGAAGAAAGAGAGAAAGAGAAGAAAGAGAAGAGATAGAGAAGATTTTTTTTAAGCCTCCGAGAAAATGACTCGACTATTCTCAATGACGAATTGGACAGCCAGATTCTTGGCATGCATATCCGTCATCTCACGCTCGATGCTTCGGTCGAACATGAGAGTAGGAGCGAATACCACGGCCAGATTCTTGGGAGTCATCTGGGATATGTCAGCGCTGGGTCCAGGCACATGAAGAGAGGAGTGAGCAGATTGATAGGGGGAAACGTACCAGGTTCTCACTCTGTCGCTGGGCCACGCGGTCGAGATGGAACATGAGGAACTCAAGACAGTCACGGTGCCTCTCTGGCAGAGTGGCAAACGTCCTGCGTAGGTGGTTGCAGCGTTCGGTCTCGTCGGCGACACCTACAATATCGCCTGTCAGTTCCGCTGAAGATGTGTGGTGGTGCGCAGGAGGTGCCTGGTCTGACATACCGTTCGATTCGAGCACCCTGTCATACACGTCGTACGTGAGGAGGGGAGTCGGAAGCTTTCGGAAGTACTGCTTGAGCACACTCGTGACAGCCGTGATGTCCATGTCCGGGTCGGAAATGTCAAAGTCCTCGTCCTTGTTGAACCCTTCCTTGATGGCGTTGACCTGCGAGTTGCCGCCGGTCTTGCGGTAGATGCCCTCCTGATTCATGCCGCGGAGCTCCACCTCCTCGATGCAGCGCGTCACCACGCTGGGGATCTGCCGGCGCTCAAAGTCGGCGCGCTCCGTCAGGTCGGACCCGAACAACGTCGTCGACGCGTCGGCGGTGGCAGGCGCCGTCGTCACGTTCATGGCCGAGGGCGACTTGGGCATCGTGTGCTTCTTGCTGAAGAAGCCGAAGCCCTGGCGGCCGTGCTCTCCGGGCTTCAGGGCCTGGTTGTTGTAGCCGTTGACGACGACGCCGCCGTGGATGTTGTTGGCGCTGTTGGACTGTGGCGTCTGACCCATGTTCAGCGGCGGCGCCTCGATGGCCGTCACCGTCGTGTTGTATGGCATGCCAATGTCGCCGCCCGACATGGTCGCAGGGATGCGCTCCCCGCGGTCGTTCTGCTGGAAGGCGACAACGGCCCTGTTAACGCCCTTGGCCACGTTCTGCGCCAAGCCCTTGGAGCCCTTCTTCCAGTTGAACTTCTTCACCTGGCCCTTGCGGACCTGCACCACAGTCGGGCCGGACTCGACGTAGCCGTCCTCGTCGGCTGCCACCAACGTCGGCCCCGTCGTCGTGCTCGACGAGTCCAGGTTGATGGACGATGCGGTGCCGTGCTTGCCCTCGCTGTAGATACCCAGGCCGTTGAGCGCCCTGGGATCGATGGAGCTGTTCTTGAAACGCTCCTGGAGCTGGTGCGTGAGGTCGTTGTTCATATCGGCGAGCTGCGCATTCTTAGACGACAGCTGCTCGAACTCGACCAGGGCCCGGTCCCTGTCGGCCAGCGCGTTGTTCTTCTCCTCCAGGAGCCTGTCGCGCTCCTCGTGGAGCTGCTCGATCTCCTCCGACAGGGACACCTGAACGCTCTCCAGTTTCTGGACAAACTCCTTGATGGCCGACTCCTCGAGCTGACGGGGGTCGAGGGGTGCCTTGGTGTCCTTGCCCTTCTCGACGTAGCCTGCCAGGACCTCGAGCTGGCGGATCATGATCTCCGTCTGCGTGTCGAGGACCGATACCGTCTTCCTCTTCTCAATCAGCTTCTTGTTGAGGTTCTTGAGGTCATGCTCCGAGTTGAACTGCCTCTCGAGGTCTGCCACGCGCTGCTCCGAACTTCTCAGCTGGCGTCTCAGGACAGCAGGATCCTCGTCTGGAGAGGTGGAGACCGGCGTCGCCATCTCGGGCACCTGGTCGCTCTCCTCATCCATGTCGACATCGGCCGTTCCAAGCTCGGGCCACTGGGCGGACACGGAGCTGCCGGCTGTATCGCTGACACTTCGGCTGTGGCCGCTTCGCGACGGGTGTGCAGCTGCTGACTCGACGCTGGCGGTGCGGCCGTGTCTGGTCGCGTTGGAGGCGCGCTTCATCATGAAGGACGACGTTTGGTCGGAGCCCATGATCCTAGCCATGTCTTCGTCCAGAGTGAAGTCACCCCCGCTGCTCCATCTAGGCAGCTTGGGCGACGTCTTGGGCTCCGACCCATCTGCGGCCTCCTTCTTATTGCTATTGCTGTTGGCGTTGTTGTTGGCGACAGGTGCGGCGGGTGCGGCCCGAGGTTGCATAAAGCTGCCAGAGTTACTCTGCTCAGCCATGACGGCCGCCGTGGGACTGTCCTTGGGTAGCTGCTTCCTCTGGATCGCCCTGGTATTTTCCGGTCGAGGTGTCGACTTTGACGTGGCCCCCCCCGACTCTCTACGGCTTTCCTGCGGTGTAGTGTCATCGCTCGTCTTCCGTGATTCGACCTGAGAGGAAGACGAGCTGTCGCTAGGTGATACGCCAGACTTCTTGACGGCCGAAACATCTTGAGACCTGTGATCGTCGGGCGACTGCTTCGACTTCTGGGAACCCTTGGATTGCTTCGAGAGGCTGCGCGTCAGTGACCCCGACTGTTTCAGGCTGTGGTCGGAATGCTGGCGGCCATTCTCTTGGAAGGCGATGTGAGGTGTCGAGGTGCGCGAATCGGAGCGCTTGTCGGCGAATGACGACTTGGGGAGCAGCTGCTCCTTTCGGGAAGAGTCTCCCATAGTGGCCGTGTGGCTCGGGGCTGGGCTCGGATCCAAGGCGACGGGGATGAAGAAGCCGTCGTCACCCGAGCTGTCGTTGCCGACGACGGTCGAGCCCTGGTCGTTGCGGGCGTGTGACAAGCCGAGGCCTTCGGACCTCTGCTGGCGTTCAGGGGATCTTGCCGATGGTCCCCTCGAGTCGGTGTGTCGGTGGCTGCCGCGAGGGCGTGGCGAGATGTCTGTAGGAGTGTCGGGCTCGGGATCGACCCTCTCGTCCGAGAAGGCGTTGTTGGGTATCACATTGGGGGGCAGTGCGGGAAGCGACTTTTCTGTGATGACTGGTAACTGGGCCGTCAAGTCTCGACTCTTGTTGGCCGCGGCAGCCTTGGACTTTTTCCGCCTTCTAGCCATTAGCGTCTCATGACATTGCATGCAAAAGATGCCCTGCGACGTCCTGGCATAGCGGAGGTTATCGATCTTGCGCTTGCAGTTGCGGCAGCGGAAGCATGTAGAGCAAAAGGCCTGGTCACCGGTGAGGATGGCCAGGTCTTCGATCTTGTTATTGCAGGCGCTGCAGGTGTATGTGCAATTGTTGCATATGAGGGAGCCGTCACCAAGGAGGAGGAGATTGGCATCCGAGTCGAGGAGGGTACCGCACGAGTTGCAGCGGAAGCAGTCGAGATGCCATCGGTTGCCAGCTAGGGACAGTTGTCAGCGGCATCCGTACGCGTCACGTCTGGACAGCATGCTGGGCACAGCGGCTCCGAGAATGCGACAGTGGCCAGAAGCAGCGGCGCGCTCCCACGCCTGGCGAAAAGATGCAGATGGGTAGAAGGTGTCATCAACATACCTAGCTCAAAGGCTTTTCCTTCCTCGAGAATCTAGCGGTGCAGTACGGTCAGCCATGACGATGAACAACACAGGCGGCGACGAGATGTCATTATACCTCTCCACATCCCTTGCAGGGGAACACATCTTCGTTATCGGTGAGCTGGCCGTCTAGGTATTCGTCGGTTACGGAGGACATGGCGGGCGAGTCACTCGTGCTCAGCACGCAGCGCCTCAGGAGAGACGAAGCCGACCGTGGGTGGTGGGGGGCTTAATTGCGGTGGCGGTGATGGTTGACGACAGGTGCGAGCGTCAAAGAGGCGACTAGGAGGATAGAGAAACGGTATCCGAGAGGGTGATCAGGGTGAGAAAGGGAACAAAGCGGCACTGGCAGGATAGCGAGAGAGGGAGCTATGCGGGCACCTGGCCTGTCATGCCTCTCTTTGTCTCTTTGCCGGAGGGGGGGCGGTCGGTAGTGGCGATCGGGCAGCAAAGAAGCGGTGTTTCGGGATCGTCGAGGTTACGTGGATTGGCCGAGGCAGCCGGAGATGACGAAGGAGAGGACGGGGGAGAAGGATGAGGGTTTGTAATATGGAACAAGCAGCGAAAAGGATACGAGCAATTATCACTAGATTGCAGCGACTGGAAACGAAGATTAGAGAGAGTGTGAACTCGGTGCCACCTGGAGGTGGTGTTGGCATCCAGTCGAGAGGAAAGCAGAGGCCACAGGGGGGGGGGGCTGGTTGGGTGGTAACCTGTAGGTTGCCAGGGGAGGCCGGGAGGGGGATTAGGGGATGTCGCGTTGTGTGGGCTAGCGGGCCGGCGGTTTGCAAATCACGGTAATAGTGGGCAGCAGCCACGGCCAAAAACGGTCCAGTATCATTTTGGAGTACGAGGTATGACTACTAATATTACCTGTAGTGAGAGTACATGCTACTACGTACGAATATTATTATTACTACTATTAGCACTGCTAGTCCTAGTGATTATTAGTGGCAGCGTTTAAGGGAGTATCGAGTGTTATTACGAGTATTACGAGTATTGCGAGTATTACCGTATTACCTCGACATTAGTACATATAGGCTATAGTACCTACATGTAGTGCTCGTAGTAGTGGTAGTAACGGAATATCCGGTTGATCTGGAGTCTAGTTTGGCCTAATCAGCAGCCAGAAAAAAAAATATGTAAACACCTTTTCCTACCAAACCTCATGCTCAATGTACCACAGCACAATGGTCTTTTTTATATATATAGTAGGATTAGCTGGGTAGGATAGGATCAATCTTGCTTACACACGCACACACACGCACACGCACGCACACACACGCACACACTATATATATATATAGTATGAAGAAGACTGTAAAATAGGGTATGAAGACGGGAAGAAAAAGTTACATCGAAGACGGTACGGGGCCACCTCAAAAATCCAGGTACCCTTCCCCTTATTAATATGTATAGGTACCTATTTGATTGCTGGATAGCAGAAGCTTGTTGCTCGATAGGTACCTTTGATCCGTACAGCGAGATGCTGCTAGAGGCACTGGAAGGTAGAGTACGCTAGCGCTGAGATTAATGGTGGTGATACGTTGTAATACGCTGTGATACGCTGTGACACGCCGTAATACTACCGGTAGCGGTCGCTGACCATGGAGAGGAACAGACACCACTGGCCGGTCGAGGTTACCTGAGCCTCTTTTTATCATCCACCACTCTCACATGCATCTCGCCGGCTCAAATAAGGGGGGGGGGGGAGTGTTACGAATGTTAATACTATTATTAGTTATTGACCAAACTTACCAGGTCATATTATTCCGTGAATGTACTCTCAGTTTAATCGCCTCTCTGTCACGGCCGGCATCTCCTGCGGTTCTAGTACTTACACGCGGTAACGGTGCTGCTAATGTTGGTATTGAGTAAAGTGCTCGTGAGTCGTCGTGTCTGTAAATCACCAGCGTGTCCAGCCGCTGCAAACTCCGGTTGTACCGCTCCGTATCCCCAGAGCCGTTGCCCCCCATCCTATGGCCCATCATCACCGGCCCTAAATGATGTTACGAGTATTAGATAACCTGGTCTCGGTTCAACCACTTGGGCGACAATGCCCGTCACTTGTATCCAAGTACGAATACAGGCGCGCGTACGCATCAGTAATGATGCTTCCTTATACCGTACATGTAGAAGGTCCGACGCCCCGTCGTGCCTTCCCTGTAATTATATATTCACTGCTTCTAATGCTGCTCCGTGCCACCATTCCGTAGGCAGGTGCGATGGGACTTGATACTCCGTGCAACTCTGGCAATCCTTCCTTCCTAAACTGCCAGCGTCGAAGGCTGGCAAAAATCATACACTGTGCAACCCTCCCTCCCGTCGGTTCTTTTTTCTCTACACCTCTCTCTACTCCTCTGTCCCTTCGCTCCCTCCGCTCCCTCCCTCTCCCCCTTCACCCCAGAGGTGAATCCGTTCTGCTGACTGACATACATACTTTCGGAGACTGGAATGCTCGTATGCTCCCTCCGACTCTAGCGTGCCATCATCCAGGGGTGAGGGGCTCCCGAGGCCCCAAAGCCACCCTCCTCAGTGGAGCTACAACGGTTGCGCCAGCCAGCCTTTCGGCCCTTGGCTCAGGGCTGACTCTTTGGATGGTCCTCGGCCTTCGAGGTGGGGACACGAGAGACAGCAACCCCTGCCACATCTTGTCCTGCGGCCTTGGACGTCCGACGCTCATTGCTCAACGGCGAGCCCGGTCGGAGGGAGCCTGGAAGGTGATGGGTCACAGAACCATACCAGCCAGCCAGATCCGACGACTCTGGTACCACTACGCTTGCCCATCCCCGGGCAACGACTTCAGGTACGAGAGACTACCAGAGGCTCTTTGCCAGAGGGTGGCCTGGACGAGGGTGATCATTGACTGCAACAAGTTTCTCATGCTTGCAAGGGGACCATGCACGAGTAGCAGTTGTACCTACCCGCTTGGCCTTGCTTGCTTGTGTACTTGCTCGCTCGTACTTACTCGCTCGCTTACGACGACATAGCAGCACGAGTACGAACTATCACCCTTCTCAGACAGCATGCTTCACACGGATTCTCCTGCTGAGACTAAACTTTTGTCGTTGATTATCTGTCTATTTGCAGTATTGGCTGATACAGCCCAGACAAGACTGCGCGTCGAGTGACACAGAAGACGTCTTGACCACCAACAAGATTCCAGCTCATCCTCTGCATCCTTATGCAACCTTCGCCGCCACGATGCACGAGTAACAAGTATTACATGGACCCGATGGACAGGGCAAGGTCAGGTCAGGTCCACTATGAGGATGCAGACCCGGGACATATTACATGACTATACCAATGAAGGCTACTTGGTCTTTCGTTTTGTGCGAACTCATAGCAGCACTCTGTTACTCTGGCACGGAGAACAGTTGACTACCATGTCGCTAGATACAACAGAAGCGCGCCTCACAATCACGGACATCTACCAAGGCAGTACGTAGTATTATTACATGTACAGATTGTGGGATTGATACTATCATGGACGGAATACTAATCTGTACAATGTACAACGTACTTTTAGTTGAGCTCTTCAATGCACGACCCATGACCTGCATGAGTGTCCTGTAGTCAATTCCCACCTTTTTGTTTCCTTTTCCCTGTCACCGACGCCATCTATGTGTACACGTCTCATATCCGAGAATAGCCAGCACTTCCACCATTACCACGTACCGAGCAACACAGAGAATCATGTGATGAGAAGCCTGCGCCCTCTGCTACTTTTCTCAGCTAACCTCGAACAGGTGCATTATGTGTTTTCCCCCATCGACTTCTATTCCGGAAAGCGGGTCCAGACCGAAGTTGATTTATAAAATCACGGTCACAGACTCACAGGAGCACGAGTACGAAGGCGGGTATCAACGACGACCAACGTACTGCCAGTCTGCCAGTCTGCTGCCACGCTGCCATGCTGCCATGCACACTGAGCCAACCCCGGTCTTTCTACCCCTGCACACTTGATGTGCGTGTGCCAGTGGGGACCCACCGTCCCTTGACCCCTTGTTTTGCAGGTGAAACAGCCGCGATACCTCGGGGTCCTGCCCATCACCCTCTCTACAAGAAGCTCTCCTCCGACGAAGCTAAAGCAGAGCCACTGTTTCACACCATTTTTGCCGGAGCCGGGGCGCGATTTGACCTCTCCCAAAACTTTCGACGCCCTGATTTCTCCGTCCCGACTGCCGTGGTCGAGACAATGTGACCATCAGATGTGAATGCCAGCAGGCCACACGATTCTTCCTTTGATAGTACTCAGGTTTCACTGGTGGTCCCCCGCAACATCCCTATCCGTACAGGTGTGGGCGCTCAACTTTACGAGCACCTACTGACATGGTGGTAGCATCGCACATACTTGACGCCTCTTGAAGCATACTATCAGTATCATTATTCGCTTATTGCCGTGTCTGCGCGCCGCATGCCTAGAAGAGGCGTTTTGCATATCAGGCAATATTCCATGCTAACGCAGCAGAACAGCAACGTAGCGCCTTGGCGACCGCATCAATGGCTCGACACCTCCGAGCTCTCCCTACTGCGAGCCTGTAGGCTCGACGTACAGGTCATGTACACTACTGCTGCTACTGCTGCTGCTACTGCTCCTACTGCTACTACTGCTACAAGGTTATAAGATATCCCCGCCTCGAAAAGCTGGAATCCACCGTGTCCTTTCTCGACTAGGAGGATCCTCTTTCGACCCAAGGTGGTTGAAACGTCGTTCTAAGACGGAGCGAATAGCGGTAGTCGAGATTGGTTGTGCATACCTCCTCCCTAGGACGCTGCCACGCACACGAAACACACTTGTATGCAGGATGGATACCGAAACCGAAGGACGATGGCCCAGGACACACACACGGTCCACATACGCTGTCATGTTCCTGCGAGATGATTGGGATTACTGCTCGTACCGGCATTGTACTGCTACCACTAGCAGCACTATACTCGTAAAGTCCAAGTGTTACTAGTAATACTACCTGCATCACTGTTCAATGGTGTGATGTCGACGGCCATTCAGGACGTCGGCTTGCCCCGTCGAGGATGAGGGGGAGGAGACAAGGGTAAGGGGAAATACACGCAATACCGCATGATGCAATGTACTCGGGGGGCGGGGAGGGGGAGTCTATTGAGCATGAGAAGAATAAGACGACCATCTACCCAGCCGAAAAGCAACCGGAAAAGAAGAAGAAGAAGAAGAAGAAAGATGATGATGACGACGACGACGCTAGAGGGTAAGAGAGAAGAAGAAGAAGAAGAAGGATAAAAGGCTTTTTTGTTTTGTTTTGGAAACACACACCGCTCTCCATTCTTCCCCATCCTTTGAGATGGGAGGGGAGTGAGCGATGGGAAAGAAGAAAGAGGTAGGAGAAGACTACTGCTCGCCGACGATCCTCTTCACCTTTTCGAGGAGAATGTTACTCTCCCTCCCGAGCTTCTTCTTGCCGTCAGGGCCGACAGTCTTGGCCATGGCACGACGGTACCTGTCCCTCTGGGCCATCTTCTGCTCCCGCTCCTCCCTGCGGCGCTGGATCTCCCGGGCGCGAGCCTCGGCCTCTGCGCGATGCTGGTCGGCCTTCTGGAGCTGCTTGTCGTAGTAGCCTGGACGACGGGTGCGGCGGCGCTGACCGTCGCTGTGGCCGCCACTGCGACCACCGCGACGGCCGGGAGCCTCTCCGTCATCATCGTCACCGTCATCGTGGCCGCCGCCCCTTGAGACGCCTGTCTGGGCGGCTTCTTCATCCTTGAGCATGAGTTGGCGGGTGGGGTGGAGGGCTGGGTCTGCTGCTGCTTGACCGTCGTCATGCTTGTCCCCGTCAGGCCTTTTCTCCTGCAGCTGTTGAGGCTGTTCTTGGGCTTTAATCTTGGCGTATTGCTTCTTGACCTTGGCCTTGTGGATCAGGTCCTTCTTAATCTTGGTGACTATTCAGAGTATGCGGGGGAAAGAAAGTGTGTGTTAGAGAGAAAAACAAAAGAAAAATCGGTCAAAGTGTTTGATGATGAGATGGATAGATATTGTGTGAATGAACGTACCCTTGCGACGCCACGGCCCGTCAGGGAGATTGTCCGGGCCGACGCGGAAACCCTTGCGAGGCTTCTTGGATTCTGGTGCCGGGCTGGAACCCCCCGGCGGACGTCTCGGTGCCATTGTTGTCTGTGATGTATGTGCTGTATCCTCTCTCGCGAGAGAGAGAGAGAGAATGTGTGTGTGTGTGTGTGTGTGTGATGGATGGCGAGAATATGAGTGTTGAAAATTTCGTCAGTGAGAGAGTTGGACCCTGGAACCGCTACCGGGTAGGTACCCGATTATAGGGACTGGAAGTGCCGAGATGTACGCTGTAAATACAGTTGACGATGTGGGGAAGTGATTGGTGGGCTTCTAGTGCACCAGCGTATTGGATGGGATGTAGGAACAATGAGCCATGTTGTAAGCCACGTACGTAGATTGTAGCGTATTCGGGTAACATGCATCGACCAAGCTTCTCTCTCTGAAAGTGGCACTTGGGAGGCATAATCCTGCCGACCCCTTTATCCATCTATTATATTGCGAGGAGCACAGAGCGGCAGGACGATGAGATCCAGGACCGCTCGTATACGTAATGCTAACGGCAGTATGGAGTAGATCAGGCTGATCAGCACACTCCGGTGGCGGGGGGCATATGCTCCTCAGTGGACTCAGTGGGACTCAGCTGGGGTCCAGCGGTGCCCAGACGTGGCGGCGGCGGCGGCGGCGGCGGCGTGTTTCTGCATGAGATGTCAACGTACGAGTGCCTAAACAGAATACTCAGTATCAATGTCAAAACTACTGTAGTATTCATCATCGGTATTGCATGATTGGGAGTATTGATACGAGCGGAATCGACTTTTAGTATTAGTCGTGGGTTCAGTAACAATACTGGGTAGGACGGCTGCAGTCGTACATACCAACTGTTACCACAACCCACACCGCCCTGACCGAACTCGGTCTCTGCTCCCGTGACGTCGTCGTTCCTTCTCTGGTGTCATATTATCGGATTCCCACCTTTTTCCCTTCATTTTCTTCTTCTTCCGTCTTTCGTCCCTTCCGACTCACCTCACTCTCTGTCTCACCACCTATTACTGTATATCTCTAGACCCTTGGTCGATCCGTCTGTTGGATGATCATATCACATATCACGCTGTAATATCTTGTTATATCCTACCGCCCATTCTATACCCTTGCGGCCCGTCGCCGTCTCGTTCCGCTGTCGCCGACATCGCCCGAACCTCGGTGATCAAGTAACAGACTTCCTCTGATACCTTTCTTTCTTTCCCTCTGCGAACAAGAAAAGAAAGAAGGGAAGGGAAGAGAACAGAAACGAAGAACGAGTCCTGAACCGAGGGCTTTTGATGATCTTTGTCAGAATCTTCTCATGCAGTCGGGACCGCAGCCCAGCTGTGGTTCCAGCTCTTGTGCATAATGCCCATCTTCCAGTATGATCTTGACCACCACCCGGACTTCGTGCCTCTCATAATCGGCCCGCCTTCTACCTCGTCCCTCCGACGTTTCTCGGATGAGAGTCTGCGTACTGGTCTATGCGAAGGATCCGTCCCCGACAGTCCTCACGGCAGCCCGGCCCCGGAAAAGAACAGAAGTGACGATGACGATGGCACCACCTCTAGCCGTCAGCTTCTCATTGAGCGGCTCAAGAGAGGCCAGGGCCCAACTTGGATCCCCTCACCTCACGGACGTGAGACTCACTGGCACACGTCTCCCGAAAAGAATGAGACTGACGTGTTCTCGGAGCACGAGCCCGTCTCTGATCGTGGAGACGACCGTTATGACCGTGAACCCTTCTCCACGGTCTCCCCCACACCATGCGAGAGCACCAGCCTCCTCCCGGCCGCCCATTCGATACCCCGGAAGACCCAGGGGCGGGAACGGTCTGAGGAGAGGCTTCATGAGGGACTTTCCATCGAGCGCCCGCGATCTGCCCTGCACACCGGCGACTTCACCAGCGCCGAATCCGGACGGCCGGATCACCACGGGTACCAGCCCATGCAGCCTGCGTCTCTGTCCGGGAACCCCTTCATGGTCACATCGCCACCGAGAGACTTTGCTCCCATCCACCGCAGACCCTACGCATCTCGGAGCTCGCTTAACTCGCTGCTCTTCGGCGCGCCGCCGCCGCCCCTATCGCCGTCCCTGTCCTCCAGCCTCGCGTATCGGCCGCCGACGAGCCCCCTGGCACAATCGCTGACCAACGACGACGACACGGCCATGCTGGGCATCGACTACTTCGACGGCGATCTAGGGAGACACCATCACTACGATTTTGGGACGCCGCAGTCGTCGTCGCCCTCTGTATGGCCAATTATGCACTCATCCGAGACGCCTTCGTCGCAGTCCCGACACAGGCGCATGGGCTCTCTTCCCTCCCAGGCTCACCAGCCCATGAGGCCGCTGCACTCGACACCTGGGTCTCTACAAGCCAGTGACTCGCCGATATCATTCTCGTCAGCCTCGAAGATGTCACGCCGCCAGTCGCTCGGGTCCGACATAACGCCTATCCAGCACGCGTCCATGGTGGGCTCCTACGAGGAGAGCATCCTCCGTGGCCGGATGTCGACGACACCCTCGAAACCGCTCGAGTTCATGGCCCAGATCGGCGTCCTGGGCATGGGAGACAGCAAGGCGCGCCTCAGGTGCCCGCCGCACGTCACGCTACCCTTCGGCGCCGTCTACTACAGCTACGGCGGCGCCTCGCACGGACGCTCCCAGACAGACGACGGCCCCAGCCCCTACGTCGGCCAGGTGGATCTGGAGAATGGGCTGCCGAATCTGGAGGGCGAAGGCCGATCGCGTAGGAAGGCCCAAAGCCGTTACGCAGACCGCCGGGTCACCACCGAGGGCCAGGTGGACGGCAATGATGGGCGGCGGCAGCAGCAGCAACAACAACAGCAACAGCAACAGCAGCAGCAGCAGGCTAGAAGGGTGACATCAGCACCCAAGGTGTCGTCGCGGCCGTCGGCCTCGGGGCCACGGGCCCCGCCGGGCGGCAGCTACCGGATCCCGGAAAGGGGCCAGGTGCAGATCATCATCAAGAACCAGAACAAGACGGCGGTGAAGCTGTTCCTGGTTCCCTACGACCTGGCGGGCATGGAACCCGGCACCAAGACCTTCATCCGCCAACGGTGCTACTCGGCTGGGCCCATCCTAGACGGCATCCCCAAGTCGGCGGGGCGTGCCGACGACCCGGCCGAGAAGCCCACGCTGCGCTACCTGATCCACCTGCACATATGCTGTCCCTCGCGGGCGCGGTACTACCTGTACAAGAGCATCCGCGTCGTCTTCGCCAACCGCGTCCCCGACGGCAAGGAGAAGCTCCGCAGCGAGATGACCATGCCGGAACCGCGCTTCACACCCTACAAGCCCGTCAGGGTCATGCAGCCCTTCGCCGCTGCCGCTGCCGCTGCTCCTACCCCTACCCCTACCCCTACCCCTGCCGCTGCCCTTACCCCTCCCACGGGACCCGGCACCGCCTCTCTCGTGGCCGAAAAGGCCCTCCGGAGACGCAGCGCCGGCTTCCCACTCACCACGCCGTCGTCCCATCCCTCCACAAGAGGCATATTACACTCTTCCGACGGACTTGGGATAATACGCCACTACGTCTCGTCTGCCGCTGCTACTGCTGCCGCTCCCACTGCCAACAGCGATATAAACACGGTAGATCCTATTCCACTGCATCTCCCTCCGCGGAAACGCATCGACAGCGACGGCAGCAGCATCGCGGAACATGACGAGCACAGCTCACCACCCGACAGTGCCTGGCTGCAGGAGGGAGCCCCGGCGCCACGGGACATGCGCGGCTATGTCGATCTGGGCAGTCCCCGCGAACCATCCCGCCTCTCCCCGTCCGACGTGTCGAGTGGTTCTGCCGAGGGTCTGTTGACCCAACGATTCCGGTCTATAGGTGTGAGTGGCGGCAAGACGTCCTCTGATGGCAGTGACATGCCACCTCCAAGTATATAGTTATTATTTTTTCAAAATCTCTTGATCTAAAACACCTATATCCATTCGTCATTCCTCTTTCTTTTCTTCCCCCGTAGTTGAACATTATGATTGTAGATTCAGACCAAGACATAGAAGAGCAAGAATGAGAGAATCAAATCATCTAAAATGTTTTATATCCAGTATTCTCCTTTCAAAAAAGAAGGGGAAAAAAAGACTGACAAGGCAAACAACTACTACTCTACTCCGTACAAAGTCTCTCTTTTTTCTCTTCTTCTATAAAATGTACAAAAAAAATCCAACACAAAATCTTCCCTTTAGTCTTTCTTTATTTCTGTCTCGTTCAAGACTTGGGTATACATATTGGTACAAATCATTCTTTTTTTTTAATATTTCTCCTTTTCTTCTTTTTCTTTCCAGTCCCATCTTCAGAATGTTGGAAGGGAAAAAAAAGAGGTTGTGCAAAGATTGAAAGAAAAATAAAAGAGGTGGAACATGTTTATCAATCATCCTTCTTCCTTGATAGCATCTGACTCAACACAGATCGAAGCTGTTTCAATTCGCCTTCCAGCATTGCCCGAGTGCGACGTCCATCCTCAAGTACCCTAAAGGGATTGGTGGTCTCTGCAGCGGCGGCGTCGTGCATGGCACGCTCGCGCCTCCTCAGGGAGTTCTGCATGGCGCGCAGCTCGGATAAGGGCAGCGGGGTGAGGATGTCGGTGATGGCGCGGTCGAGCCGCAAGTCCCCGCGGACGACCCACGGCGCCTCGGGGCCGGGGTTGTTGACGTCGCCGTAGTCTGATGTGGTGAAGGCGTGGTGAAGGATGGGGTAGCGGTGCTCGACGTCTGCCAGCCGACGCGCCACGTCGGCGGACCACGCCGCCAGCCGGCGCTTCTCGAGCCACTCCGTCTGCAGGGCGAGGACGGCATGCGGCGTGGGCTGGAGGGCCCGCGGGTTGAGGGCCTCGCGTCGCGCGCTGAGCGACTTGGGCCGCGGGTTCCAGCCGCGCCACTCGGGCATCAGGATCGTCTCGCACCAGTCCATCGCTGGCTCCCACTGGCCCATGTCGGCCAGCCCGCAGATGACGCGGTCCCACGTGCTCGACGTGAGCTTGAAGCCCGCAGACGTCACCTGCCCCACGCACGCCAGGAGTCCCTCGCCGTCGTCCATGGCCCGGAACGTCTCGGCCAGCCGGTACACCAGGCGCGTCACGTCGTACTGGTGCGCGGGGTAGATGCCCGTGCCGTCCGGCGTGGAGCAGCGCTTCAGGATCAGCGGCCACGTCTGGTCCCAGAGCTCAATCACCGAGTCGTAACTGCCGTCGCGGTGGTACGCAAACATGAGGGAGGCCAGCACGTCCTGCGGGAGCGCCTCTCCCCCGTCCTTGTACTGCGGGAATAGGTCGGTGAACAGGTTCACCAGCTCCTCGACGCTCGTGAAGTCGCGGAACATGACAAGTAGCTGGACGGCTCGCCCGATCTTGCGTGTCTCAAGCTTCAGCTTCCTGACGTCGTTGCCCGGCTCGCCGACCAGTCTGCGCAGCGATGCGACTATCTGCTTCCCCAGCTGTGGCGTGCGTCGCATGTTGGGTGCCTCCCGCAGAGCAGCGTGGGTGTACGCCACCATGGCGTTGAACGGGACCGGCATGGTCAGAGACTCCATGAGCGACATAAGCGCCTCGGCCGTCGGGCGGTCGCCCGTGCGCACCGCCCCGAGCATGACAATGGAAAAGTGCTCCGGCTGCAGCACGTGCAGGCGGTTCTTGGACGCGTCCCGGACGACCTGGAAGGCGGGCGACACTTGGTTGACGCGAACGAGGGCGTTGAGGAGGTGCGAGATGGTGTTGTGGTCCCATTCGAGATTGTACCTCTTCATGGCGTTCAGGAGCTCGTAGCACTTGTCTAGGCGTCCATGCATGCCGTTGTGAAGCAGCAGCTGGTTCCATACGGCCGTGCTCGTGATCTTGCGCTGTGCCAGAGCGGTGCAGATCTTCTCCGCGTCCAGCAGCTTGTCGTTGTGACAGTAGGCGGCGACCAGGGCGAGTCCCATCTCTCTGGAGATGGGCACCCCGTTCTTCTGCGCCTCATTGAAGAAGTGGATCGTCTGCTCGAGGTCGCCCTTCTTGGAGCACATGGCCATGACGTGTGCATAGGTGAATGAGTCCGGCTTGTGCATCTTGGACACTTCCTGAAAGCAAGCCAGCACCTTGGGATAGTCTTCGGCGCGCATATAGCACTTGAGCAGCATGTTCCAGATGCCGAGGTCCGGCTCCACCTTATAGTGGTTAATGATGCGGTCCAGCTCCTCCTCGGCACCTGCTACGTCTCCAGCTTGGGCGTACGCATTCATGATACTGTGGAAGCCACGGGGAGTCTCCAGCTTCCACGGGAAGATTTCGACGTAGCGCTTCCACAGCTCCCGCACCTGCTTGACGTCTCCCCTGTGGGCGAAGAACTTGAGGAACTTTTCGAATCCCCACAGACTCAGCTCTCCCCGGGACTTGATCCAGTCCTGATAGAGGCCCTCCAAGGCTGTGACGCCATTGGGGTAATGGAGCTTGAAGATGCCGCGCATGATGTCGACCGAGGGCTTGGCTCCCGGCAGCGACTTGAAGTCTTGGTATATGTCAACGAGCATGCGGGCGGTCGATGTCGAGATCTTCTTGGTGTACCATCGGTCGAGCATGCGCCAGAGATAATTTTCGTACATGGTGGGATCGCGCCAGAATGACAAGATGACTGATGCCTGTCTGGGCGGGCATGGCTCCCTCAGCGCCTTGGTAGCAAAAGTGCGGCGAAGAAGTCGCAGTGCAGGCCTGGAAGTCTTGTCCAAGTCAAGCCAACGTTCGACCCTGCCTTCATCGGCGGCAAGGTAGCGCTCAAACGAGAAGTAAAGGGCGCCGAGACTCTGCAGCGAGCCGATGGGCTCCAGGAGCGAGCCGCGAGGCATGCTGCTGGGCTCTGCCTGAGCCAGATTGCTGCAGTACGCCGTCCAGACGTCCAGGAGCGTGGCCCATTGCTGCTTGCTGACCGTGTCGATGAGGAGATACTCGAGACCGCCGGTAAGGCAGCTGGAGCGAAGCCCAGTCTTGAAGACGGAAATGGCGCGTTCCTGGTTCCCTGAACGGAGGAGGACAAGGACCGAGGCTGACAGGAACTTGTCGTCCCACTGTGAAACGTCAACCTGGCGAAACAGCGACAGAGCACGGCCCGTCTCCACTACACTCTGGGATCGTGAGAGGTACTGAACAACCAGGGGCTGCATGGCAGATCTCTCGGCAGGGCTGAGGCGGCAGTAGATGTCCCAGACATCGTGGAAAAGTCGCCCTTCCTCGTCGGCAAGAAGTTCAGACAGCGTCGCGCCATTTCCGGGCCGGCTGGACGAAGCTCCCCGCAGGACATCCTGTTCAGCCGTCAGCTCGGCAGCGTCGACCGTCACATCAGCGCCCTTGGCTCCGTGAACAGGGTACGCGTTCTTGGGCGGTACCGTCACCTCGTCCCACCGCGATGACTGCGGCTTCGGGAGAGGAGGAGGGGGGTGTTCGTCGACGCTAGCCGTCTGGCTGTAGGACCCGGTCGTGATTGCCTGGGCGGTCGAGACCGAGGAAGACGATGGGCGGTGATCCCTCGACGTACCGACGCGGCCAGCACCATACCTGGAGTGGTTCAGGGACGAGGCGGGCGAGGATGGAGGATTCTGTCGGAGGAGAACCTTGGTCTGTCTCGGGTAAAGAAAGTCTAGGACGACTGGGCCGTCGACCCGGGCAGCAGCGGCAGCAGCAGCGGAGGCTGAGGCGGAGACGGGGGCATCGTCGTGTCGCTGCTCGTTCCGGGATATAGAGGCCTTCCTTGTCGAAGCAGAGCGCCTCTGCCAGGAGCCGCGGCCGTGCGAGAAACCTGTGCGCGGCGGGCCAGGAAGTCGCGTGGATGACGATGTCGGACGTGAGAGGACCCGACGGATGTTGAGGTTACTCGACTCCAAGCCAGCGGCAGTTCTCTCTAGCATACTGGCCGGCGAAGCAGCGGTAAGCAGTTCCCGGCCACCGATCTAGGGTAGTCGTCGGGAAACGGCTGGTGTTGCGAGCAGGTTGTGTTGTTGGTGGAAATTCGGAGTGGTCTGGACAGAGGCCAAAGAGGAAAAGGAAAGATGCAGGCCAAAGAAGTTGAAGCTCGAAAAGTTCGACCCACGACGGAGACGGGCGACGAGCTGAGCCAATCACGCGACGAAGCAGCACTAACAGGGCCTTTGCCATTACACGCTCCGGCCTGTACGCACCCGTTGGTCCGTACAGGTACGATCGGGGAAGAGAGGGAGGGATCAGTATGGCGATTGCATTTCCCTGGTATCTAGGAGCATATCTTGTCATTAATCCTACTGAGCAAAGAGACTGGTATCCGTCTTATTGAATGGAACATCACCACGGAACCTGCACTCAGTCGTGGCCTTCGGAAATGTGCTTAGTAATCTTTTTTTTTTTTGGCCCCTTTACGGAGCAGAACGGCAGGAACGACAGACGGGCCCACTCTACCTACCAACAACGGCACTGAGGCAGGCATCAAGGCAGGAGGAACACATGATTATTGTCCATCCTCCATTCTCCATCCCCAGATGGGCGACATCGAACTGCCAACGGTTGCAGCTAGTATCGATAAGTATAAATCTGTGTATGGCAGTAGCAACGCAATGAGATCAAGTGGTAATACTGATCAATAGTAATGACAAGACACGATGTCGGTTACTCGCGTGCTTGCGACTTGCCGTGGTGTCGAGGTGGCCTCTGTCGGTCAAAGTCATGCTAGGCACAACAGCTTCAACTGGGCCCCCTTCCATCGGATACTACCAGGCCGTCGATGCAATGTCTCTCTATATCCGAATCGCTGCCGTTCTCAAGCATGGGGCGGCATGGGTATACCGACAACGAGACGAGCAAGATCAGGTCTCTTCTTCTTCCATGACTTCTTCCTCCATCTTGCAAGTGGCTACTGCAGACGGCATCGCCAGCATGCATCTAACTGGCACTCTTCCACTACCGCTTCGTATGATTTACCCCGGTGACCTACTCCATCCACCCGATCTTCATCTCAAGGACCGGTTGAGGCCATGTTCAACCTCCATCAGGCGAAGCACCATCCCTTGTGGATGCTCCGTCCAAGACCAAGGCACAGCGCCTCTCTATCCCGCTGGCTTTCGCGTGCTTCGTGGTGAGGCCAACCGATGATTTGATGGCTGTTGGGACGCTCGGCCAACCGGAATCAGGACGGCAGACCAGCCGTTTCACCGTTGCGGGCTGATCTGGGACGACAATGATGACCCGGCGGTGACGAGAGGTAACAGTGCCGATGTCAGATATGACCAGTTACCATATGTCTCCCCGCTGCGATATAATCAGGCACCGAGCGACATTACGAATCTTCCCCCCCCCCCCACGACGTGATCAGTGTGTGTGTACATCCTCCTGTCCGACGAGACGCCTGACCGCAGTGCCAGACTTAGCTGGCGTGGGCGCTGGACGGACGGGCCTACCCGCTGTCTTCAGCTGGTGATGCCAGGCCAACTACTAGACAAGCTTATTCGGGAGCTGGAACAGCTCGTGGTGCTGATACCAGGGCAGATGATGGGCAAGCGAGGGTGGGCACCGGGAAAGCTTACTCGACCGGTTCAGAGATGGCCTCGGACAGTGAGACGTGGGACATCCTTGTTTGGCAGAGCCAAGGACTGGCTGACACACGGAATTGGGGATAAGATGACGGGGGCAGTCCTCGATCAGGGTATAGCGATGCTATCACCCAGAAAGAAATCAAGAGATGATGATATAGCTGTAAGACGGGGTAGCTTGAGGTGTGTTCTCAAGACTTGCATGTGCCTGGCAAGTTGAGAGGGTTAGTGAGGGTCTCGTACAGTTATATTAGCAGCGCTACACGTTGCTCATCGAGATGAAGACCCGATTGAATCAAAGGATCTGGTCAGTCGGTTCAATCAGGGGATATGATCCATTGGACAAAGTAGTCGAGTACATGGCGGCGGTGATGGTGTAAGCCTTGCTACGATCAATTGTATGGTCGACAGCTGTGCTTATAAGAGACGTGGTGATCCACAATGGCTATAATGAATGAGCAGGATCGGGTCGTGGAGGGAGTGGGATAAGATTTGATGCCGGGGAAGCAGGAAAGGGGGAAGGATGAGAAGAAGCAGCAAGAGCTGCATGAGTGGTCTCATCTATCGGTTGAAACGAGAGCATAATGAATGATTGAATTAATGCATGGCCATTGATGCGTCGGGTCTGTGAAACGTGGTCTGCACATCGTACGAGTATTTTTTATTGGACTCGGGGGGGCGACACAGCGGAGAGACAAACCGCATGTGAATGTCTCTGGATGTGGGTAGATGTACTCGTATCCATCAATGTACGTAGTTGGTTGCGAATTTCATATCTCTTGATATACTATTACAAAAAAAACAAAGACTTGAGAGATAAAATAGAAGTATGGAAAGATACCTGGGACAACAAGAGTGGGGAAAAAACCCCATTGAAAGATATAAAAAAATAAATAGAAAGATTAAAGAAAAAAACAACACAAAGAAATACAGACAAAGATACATGACTTGTCAGGAACATGATTCGTTATCCTCCCTTGATGCTCAGCACCGCTCAGGTTTCCCCCGTCATTCTCTGGGTGGACCGTAAAACCTGGACCGCTCGAATTCCTCAATGGATAATATTGGTACAATTTGGGAAGCAGCTGTTCTGTGCGCATCAGGGACCTGGAAACCATCCCCCCCCCCCCCCCCCCCCCCCCCCCTCTCTCTCCCCCCTTGCTCTTCTGGATACAGGTACCGGGGGGGGGGGTTGAGAGGAGCGTAGCGGTGGGAAGCGCCGTGGCTGTATTCGGTCGTAATATCTCCCCTCTCTCGACGGGACTAGCTTGCACACCGTCTTCTTGGAGAGTTTGAGGAGAGCTTTCATTCTGTGTAAAGCCGAGATTTTTGATCGTGGGGGGTTGGGGTTGGGGTCGGGGTTGCTGCTCTCTTCTTCTCCCCCACTCTGTTTCCTACAGGATCAGGAATAGGTTGCTTTTTTTTTTGTATGAACCAAGCAAGAGAAAGAAGAGGAGATGTGAAGAAACAAAATCCTTTTTGTTTTGGTTATTTTTCTTCTTTTTTTTTTCCGGGCAAGAATTCGATATTTGTTCGTCTCCGATAGGACCTTGTGGGTACATCATTCCTTAGGTCGGAGAGGGCATAGGGCTGGCGTCATCGTGTGAAGCCGTGAAATCCTCGGGGTGGAGGTGGATCTCATTGCGCAGGCCGGAGAGACTAGAGTCGAGCCTCTGCTGCTGCTGATGGCTGAGGATGAGCAGATCCGTGTCTCCCCTACGGGTGGACGACCTTGCCCTCCTGGACCAGCGACGACGAGGGGAGGAGGCACGGGAGGGGCAGTGGTCCCTCCTGAGACGGTTGTTGAGCAGGATGTGTCTCGTGGGGGAGAGGACCGAGGCGGAGGCGGAGGCGGAGGCGGAGGCGGCCACGACGGACGTACCGGCGGCGTTGACGTTGTTGACCGGGATGGCGGTGGTGGCCGCGGAGGGGCTGCGAGGGGAGAGAGGACGGGACAGGGAGCGGGAACGACGGGCACGACGGGGGGAGGAGGCCCGCTGGGGGGAGCGGCCGCGGAACGTGCTGGATTCGGGATCGTCGGTGCGCCGGTAGGTCTTGGTGACGACGGAGGAGCGACGGGAGTGGTGGCTGCGGTCGCGGGTGCGGCCTCGCATGGTGATGTCTGTCGAGGTCATGCTGTACGTAGTCGGTGTCGGTATCGGTGCTGCGCCTCTGATGAATGGGTGACGGCGGTTAGGTCGTGGGTGAGTGCGTGTGAGGTGTGAGATTATGAGAGCTATCTCGTGCGGAACGAAGGATAAGATGGATGGAAGGAAGAGAAGGGAGAAGAAGGATCACAGAGACTGAGGGCCGTGAGGAGTATTAATATATGATGATGAGAATCAATGTACACACGTATAGTGATGATACCACAAGTAGTAATATTAATGCAACACACAAGCTTCGAGTCGGTAACGTGGAACCTCCGATAGCCTGTAGGGCAATGTTTTATACGACTGAGACACAGAAAAGGTCGGGTTTGGTCCTTGGATACGGGCACAGGTTCCAGGGGTCCGGACAAGGGGATTCATGCATCATTTATGATAATGGACTGCCCGGGACAGCTGCCCGCAGCCCAAGGGATGGGACAAGGAGGAGCAGACAGACCATGCGTTATTGATAATCAATGACAGCTACGAGTACGGAGTAACACTGCTAGCGAGTGCTGCTAGCAATGCTACACTGACGGACTATTCCAGCAGAGACTGTACGGATAGGTGGCTGTACGTTTTTGCTACTAGGACTAGGATCTAGTCACAACGATGCGTAACGTATGCAGCTTCCCGGTAGACATCAGGACAAACCCCGTCGTCACTCGTCAGGGAAACCATCAGGGAAACCATCGGGGAACCCATCAGGGAAACCACTGGGGAACTCATACGGCTAGCCATTCCTCAGGTGACGAGAACGGACGGGACACGGGACAGTCATAGACACCAAGCCAAGCCAAGAGACACCAAAAAGAGGGGCGAGCTACGACGCGTTAAGACTGTTAGTTGGGAGGCAAGAGGAGGGCCCCCCCTCCCCCCCGGGGTCCGGGATGGATCCGGGTCTGTGGAAACGGGGGAGGGGACGAGCCATTGGGATTATTACCTGTCTGTGCTCTCCCACACGCGGTACGCTCAGTGCTGATCCCTCAGGGAACTCTCTATGCTTATCCCTCGGATCACTCTCCGTTCCATCATGCCTTTAACTGACATCTTGATTCTGCATGAATGTTTTCGAGGCCTGGCCTGTGCCAACTCTTGAACGGGGGGGGGGGACACGGTCAATTCCATGTCTCAGCAGTCTCACCGATTCTTTCTGAACCTGTCTCCCTTCCCCCTCCCCCTCCCTCAACGAAGGATGGAAATGTTATCGACAGTTAGGGAGACGACTACCAAGAAAAAATTGAGACGATGTAAATGATAATGAGGCCACATGATCACAAAAAAAAAAAAAAGGTACACACTACTTATCGAGTCAAACCTTGGGAACTCATCATGTCCGATGGGGCCGTATAGCATGTAGTCTCACTGCCTTAGGATCATCATCTACTACAGAGAACCCCCCCCATCGCTACGCTAAGGAAGAGGAAAAGAATGAAGAAAACCCAAAAAAAAACACCATCGTGACCCTTTCCAATGGGTCTGGATGCTCTCCCCGGTGCTGGGGGGTGAGGGCGACCCGGGGGGGGGGGGGGGGGGGGGGGGGAGGGGGGAGGAAGGGTTACCCATGCCAGTTGCCACATGGTCGGCGCTCATATGTGCTGAGTTAGAATAGGGAAACAAGGGGGAAGAGGTGAGAAATAGGGGATCAGTCTTGTCTCTCTTTTTTCTGCTCTGTTGTACGGAGTATCAATACATGCTTTGTTTATTGCCTGTTGCGAGATTGTAAGCTGTTGATGTTTCTGTTGCTCCTTTCCTTCCTCATCCCTTCCATTCCATCAATCTCACCTCTCACCATCACCATCACCATCATCCTCTTCATCATTCCCTCTCTCTCTCTCTCTCTCTCTCTCCCTCACACATCTTTCATAAAAAGAAACGGTAAAACGGACACACACATATGCACAGACGGCATCCATGTGGGTACACCCCCTCCCCCGGTATGACTCAAAAAAAAAAAAAAGCCGTGTTACTCAATCAATAATGGTCTGGACTTTTTTTTTTTCCTCCTCTGGCCGTGGGCCATGGCACCATTCCATCTCGGCAAAAGAAAAAAGAAAAGAAAAAAGACATGTCCATGAACTATGGTTAGCTCAGCCCCCGATTCGTACTCTCTTCTCTATTTTCAGCATCTTTCGATTTTTTTTCTTTTACCCCGCACACATCAACAACACGTTGGGCAGAAAAGAGAGAGAGAGAGAGAGAGAGAACATCTGGCGTTACGGGTCCTTCGGCTGTCCGCGGCAGTCTGGAGAGGGAGGGAGGGAGGAGGGAGACAGACGTACACACATACACACATACACACACACACACACACACAGAGAGAGAGAGAGAGAGAGAGAGACAGGAGAGACGGAGAGGGTTTGAGACTATTCCCCTTACTGGTCTGCGCTGTGTGCTGTCCAGCAATTCATCCTTCCCCCGCCCGCACCTTGGGAGGGGCTTGGCATGCAAATGCAAGATATGTTGGTCTATTTGGGCTCCCACACCCAGTGACGTCTTTCTCTCTCCTCCTCTCCGGTCCTGAGCAATCTCGATGGATAAGGTACCCGTACATCTCTGCCACATCATATACCATCTGGCTACATGCGCGATACCACTCTACTGTACGGGTATGCGGTACGGTGTGATATGTTGCGACGCACGAGCACGGGCAGAGTATCTGAGTGTCCATGTCAGTCCCTCCACCCTCCATCTACATGTCTGCAAACTGCAGGCTGCCGTGACCCATGCATGTCCCGTGTCCCGTGACGAGACGGTGGGCTGCCTCGCCTGCTTAGCCGTGCTCGTCAGAGCTTGTTATGCTGGTAGCCCTGTCAAAGCAGCTGTGGTGCTGCGGTGCTGCGGTGCTGTGGATCGTGGATGTGGATTGCGAATACCTGCATGTGCTGGTGACGGCGCTGCTGAATATATCAGCAGCAGCAGCGATGCTGCTATTAATATGATGGCCAACGGTCTGCCCGGCAACGGGCCATTCATCGATGGTCTGGCCTGATGATGTCTGGCCGTGCATCTGCGTCGTGACGGGCAGCATCGTTGCGAGTACGAGTACGGAGCGCATGTAGTCGTACCGCACCTCCACGTAACCGCGGCAAGCTGCACGGTTACCGTAGGCAGCATGGTGCGTTTTTACTGCCATGACTGCGTTTTGCCGCATATTTTGCTGCGTGCCACGACGTGTTATCACGACGTAGCTATCACGACGTGCTATCGGTTGCCGTCATCATCAAATGTCGTCATATGCCGATCAAAGTCGTACCAGAGAACCATCATCACGTAAGGCGTAGAGGTCCTCCGCCATTCCCCTTCTTCTGTCTCCCTCTCTGTCCACTCGAGCGTTTTCCCCATCCATCACGCTCCATGGCATCTCTGCGTTGAACGCAACAGAACATCATCATCCTCACGTGATATTCGTAACGACCGTCCTGGAATGTGCTACCGCTATATCATCTCGTGCTCCCTCGTATGCGTGTACTGAGCACTGAGAATGCCGGCTAAATAAATCACCGACTCCGACCTCCCCCCCAACACCCTCAACTGAAAACACGTCCCGCTGGCTGACTCGCTGAGCAGTGAGAACGCGCTGTGATAGTGCTATCGTAGAGCCATTCCGAAGACCCAACCGGTCCTGCTTGAGCCACAGGAGACGTAGCCACAGGGAGCGTAGCCACAGGAAGCGTAGCCACACAGATTACAGATACAGCTGTCAACAGGCAAGAGCCTCTCCAACAGAGAGAAATATGGGCCCATCCATATACCGCGTCGCTGAAAGGCCATACGACGTACGAGCACGTAGAAGCCTATTCTGACACTCCTCTCCCTCTCTGTCCACCCCTTTCGAGAGAGGATATGCCATCAGCATTCACCTAGACACTTTCTACCAGCGGTAATCTGCCATCGCACTGACTTTCCTGTCGTTGGTTTTCCAACTCTCTCCTTGACTACTTTCTCCGGTCATTTCCTAACACTTCAGCATCATCGTCATCCCCCCTCCCCCTTTCCTGGCAAGCACGTCATTCGTTACATACATACATATATATATATATATATATATATATATACAGCAAGAAAACAAACTCTCGCGAGGCATAAGAAGAAGAGGAGCAGCAGCAGCAGCGACAAGACGCGAATCGACCGATGACGGTACGGAGAGAATACACTGTTTCCAAACAGTAGGGTGGAAAAAGAAGAAGAGAGCCTTCGACAGCAAAACAGACGAGACACGACAATGACTGGCCGCAGCCATCCGGCCAAGACGGGCTATGAACGCCTCGCCCAGGCCGACCAGTTCAGCGACGAGTCGGATGACGAGCTCCTCGGACAGTCCCAGGGCTCGCTCCAGCCCGCGTCGGTAGCGCGCTTCGGCGCCGTGTCCACCCAGCCCGTTCTCAACCGGACCGGGATGCAGACGTCCTCGTCCGTCAAGGGAGCCGTCGGCGGACCGGCGAGGCCGCGGGCACGTCAGCGCGTGGGTAGCAACGCCGGCGTCGACCTCAAGGCCATCAATGCCCGCCTGGAACGGTGGGCCGACGAGATCGCCGCGCGGTTCAAGCGCAGCGGCGGCCGCACCGACTCGGCCGACGACGTCCACCTCGAGATCCACCACTCCGTCTTCCAGCCGCCCGAGGGCGTCCGCCCCATCACCCCGGAAGAGCTGGGCGGGCTCCAGCCGGGGCTCATGTCGCAGGACGAGTTCGAGGCCATCGTCGACAGCGTGCGCAGCGCCATCGATCAGGAGGTTCACCCTAGCATGATCTCCCAGGGCAGCTCCGGCAGCTACTTTGCCCGCGACCCGGACGGCAAGATCGTCGGCGTCTTCAAGCCCAAGGACGAAGAGCCCTATGCGGCCGGAAACCCCAAGTGGAACAAGTGGATTCATCGCAACCTGTTCCCTTGCTTCTTTGGACGTGCTTGGTAAATGATCATCTCTCACCCTCTCCCTCCCCCCCATTGATTCTTGACCTCCTGAAGACTGACGCCTGCTCGCGCGGCGCGCATCACAGCCTGATTCCCAACCTTTCGTACGTCAGCGAAGCCGCCGCCTACGTCCTCGACTGCCAGCTGCGCACCCACCTCGTCCCCTACACCGACGTGGTGTGGCTCTCGTCCAAGTCGTTCCACTACCCCTTCTGGGACCGCCGCAAGTTCAAGCGCAAGAAGACACCGCTGCCCGCCAAGCCGGGGAGTTTTCAGGTCTTTCTCAAGGGCTTCAAGGACGCCAACGTCTTCCTGCGCGAGCACCCCTGGCCCGACCAGTACTGGTCGGGATTCCGGGCCAGCGACACGGGCCGTCGGAAGGGCGGCAGCAAGAGGCGGTGGGCCGAGAACTGCCGACCGTCGTCGACCCCGCCCCGCCTCCAGGACGAGGACGAGTACAACAGCGGGAGGGACGGCGACGGCGACGGCGACGACGATGACGACGACGGCGACGGCGACGACGAGAACCGCGGCCGCGGCCGCAACTCGCCCACCCCGCAGCATTTTGCGTGGACAGAGCCGCTCAAGCAGTCGTTCCGCGAGGAGCTCGAGAAGCTCGTCATCCTCGACTACATCATGCGCAACACGGACCGTGGCCTCGACAACTGGATGGTCAAGCTGGACTGGGAGACGGGCAAGGCGTCCATCGTGAGCGACCCGCTGCGGCTCAACATGGAGCCGGTCGCCGAGGAGAACTCGCCCGGCCCCGCACCTCGTCCCGCCCCGGTCCAGAGGACGGCCAGCAACCCGGCCCCGCGCGCCGCGAACCCCTACAAGAGCCACAAGCCGATGAACGCCACCAGCCGCAAGGCCGCCGCCAACGTGCCTACCGTCAGTCTCGGCGCCATTGACAATTCCCTGTCGTGGCCCTGGAAGCACCCTGACGCCTGGAGAAGGTGGGTCTACTCCTTCCACAGCCTCCACTTCCCTTCACCTCTCACTGTATACGAACCTGACAGCCACCTGCACGGACTGACTCTCCTGACCCTCCCAGCTTCCCATTCGGATGGCTATTCTTGCCGGTCGACCTGATAGGTCGACCGTTCTCGCAGAAGACGCGCGACCACTTCCTCCCGCTCCTCACGTCGACAGACTGGTGGAGCCAGACTTCGATGGCACTCAAGCACGTCTTCCAGAACGACAACGACTTCAAGGAGCGCATGTTCGCCAAGCAGCTGGCCGTCATGAAGGGGCAGGCGTGGAACGTGGTGGAGGCGCTCAAGACACCCGACCACGGCCCCCTGGAGCTCACCCGGCGCACGAAGGTCTGCGTGTGGGACGACCTCGTCGACGTTCCCGTCGCGGTGCCGATGCAGCCCACGTCCCCGCGGAACTCGACGTCTGCCGTCGCCGCTACGGCTGCGTACGCCCATGCCTCGCGGGACAAGTACTCGATGGACGAGGCCGACATCGCCGCCTCGGCACCGGCCAACCAGAGCAACGTCCGCGTCGACGACCTGCTGGGCATATCGCCCTCCGAGCCCGCCGACATGCCCCACCCGGGACGCTTCGAGCTCTCCCCCACCAGCGGCGACGATGAGGGAACGGGCGGCACGTCACCACGCAGCATTCACAGAGACAGCAGGAAAAGCAACAACGACAAGAACAGCAACGGCGGCAGCAGCAGCAGCAACGGAAGCAGCAGCAGCAACGGCAACGGAAGACCTAGAAACCACTCCCGCGGTCAGAGCCTGCAAGGCCAATATCAGAATCAGCAGCAGCAGCAGCAGCAGCAGCAGCAGCAGCAACGTCGCGGCGGTGCAGGCACAGGTAACAGTCATCAGAGACGATACTCATTCACGCCGGTCACCATCACGCGTCGCAGCAGCGGCAGCATAGCGCAGAGACTGTACAACGGTGACGATCTGGAGGGCGATCTGGGCTACACGGCTGCAGAGGGTCAGATGGGTAATCAGCGCAAAGTCATTGTCGAGAGACTTGAGGCTGTCAAGAGTAGTCCAGTCTTTACGTGGTGTTAGTTTCTGCTTCTTCTCCTTCTTCCCCACACACTCCCTTCTTTTTCCTTCTCCCCCCTTTTTTTGTTCTTTTTTTTGTTCTTCTTTCTTTCTGTACCCTTCTTCTTCACTCTTGCTCTATAGAATGGCGTTATTGTTATGAAAGAAAGAAGAGGGATATGGCGTTTCGTTGTAATATTAGTATATAGTAGGCATCGTTTTGTCTTTCCCTGTCCAACCCACACACACACACACACACACACACACACACCCCTCCCCCCCTGCCCCCTCTTTATATAGAGCGATGGATGATCGAGACAGGTCACCAAGCGAGCCAAGGTCAGCATGTAAACAGACATGACATACAATCACAACAACAACTACAACAACAAGAATAATAGAAAAAGAGAGAGGGAAAAAGAAGAGAGAAAAAAATACAGAAAGAAGAAAAAAAAGCTCATCGGCGAGAATTTCCTCGGCGGGGCCTATTGCTACGAGTAGTACAACCTCCACTTTTTACATTTTAACCCTACTGTTAATAAAGTAAACATACATATATATATATATATATATTATTACTCCGTATAGAAAGCTCTGATTACGATGCGGATCTTCTTCCTCATTCCCATACTCTATAAACCGCGCCGAAATCACGCACAAGATGCATGGCCTTTCTTTCTCTCCCTTCCTTTCCCCCTCCCCCAACGGCTTTTCCTTTACTTGTTGGACAGAATTTTCTCCTTTTATTTCATTCTTAGGGAGGGGGGGGGGGGAACTCCTAGAGGAGAAACCTGGAATCCTGAGCCGAACCCTACTTAAACCCTATCTAAAGCCACTGATGATACCAACCTTCTAACCACCACGGAGCACATTCTCTCTTATATATAATATATAATCTGTAATATCCCTGAGGTAATACTTGGTAGATGATGGGTCTTGAGCGCGGGAAATAGTGGAGATTTATATAAGAAGGGGGGGGTCAGAGTGAAAGGATCCGCTCAGATAGGTCTGGTCGACGGTGCATATTTCAGATCCGACCGTGCCTATTTTCGGGGTGTCCGTGAAACAATAAGAGCAGGGCTCACAGATGGGGAACGGCTCAGATATCCAGAACGGGAAACGGTGGCCTGAACCACCGTTCTGTTCTCTACTCGTACTCACTCATTCATCTATTGCCGATACAGACAGCCTCTCTCTCTCCCTCTCTCCTCTTCAGCAACAGAACCGAGCAATGGATCGTTGTGGAGAATGAACTTCTTCTCCCTGGGGTGGTGCCTGCAACGCAATATATATGTACATGTGTCACCGAGTTTTTTTTCGTTGAGTCTGAGGAATCATCATCGATCCCCGTCTCCGTCTGGAAGGAAGCAGAGCAGAGAGGGAAGAAAAACTAAAAAAAAAAAACTCACAGGTGTGACGATGACGAGTAATAGCCAATCCGGTCCAGGTAATATGCACCTAAAGAGAAGGTTACAGGTAACCAATGTTTTATACATGTACGAGCAGAAAAGAGAGAACACCCTTCCTCGCGAGTCACGACCGAGTCCTGACCCAAGTGTGTGGTGTCTCTGACCCGGCCGTCTGGTAAGCACGGGACGGCAAGATTGTCCTTCTTCCTTGAGGGTACCCACGACCCGGAACGCCCATGACCCGGACGCCCATGTCCGGTTTGTTCCGAGTTCGAATACCCATTCAGCGGCATCCGGAGAGGATATCAACCGCCGTCGTGGAGGCAGGTCGTGTAGGAAAAGAGAAGAAGAAAAGGGAAACGAGAAAAACTTCTCTTGCTTGGTATGAGCAGTGAGTGGTAGGATCCCCCTCCCCACTCTTCTGTCAACAATACCACCATCATCACCATCGCGATTCAGCAATACAACACCAATATCCACCCCGACGAGGCGGGTCACAAATCTCCAGCAGCACCAGGCTTCTAGCACCAGGCTTTCAGCAGTAGGCGACAACCGACGTGTACATACTCGTATACTTTGTACATGTCAAGCTTTGCTCAGGAGGATCCACACATGTACTCGCACCTGCTCTTGTCCTCGCTTGAACCCCCCTCGGCCCTTGTTCATAACACTTACAGAAGACGGGCGAGTGATGCGTATACATGTAATAAGACGTGCTCTCATCTCCCCGTACTCGTCCTCGTAGCAGCCTTGTGCCGTACTCTCTCTTGGGCGGAGAAGCTTCCTATCCTGGTTCCTGCAGCTTCAGAGAATTCGGCAACCGCACGCTCAGTCAGCCGTATCCCCCACGTCTTTCTACCTCCTCTCCATCAGAACTCGTTTATGCGCCGTCGTGCCCGCGACGCACACAGACTAACGCGCCATCGACGTCTCGCATGTGTCCCTGTATCCTCCTCCTCCTGCCCCCTTGGCGGATGCGCAGCGGCCGATAAGGGACGCACCATCCAAGCACCTGCGCTGTGATTCGAAGCCGTGTGACATCAAACTCCTGGGTCTGGAGCACCTCGATCCAATGTCCCATCACGTCTGCTTTCCCGGGGTTTTGCCCGTGACCCACGGCTCCCGCTCGCCGAGCAGCCAACCATCCCGCATCTACAGTGTAGATGAATCCGTCCAGCGTCGTATGAGTGCTTTTAGTACGTCCTGATGACGCGCGACTGACGTGGCGGTGAGAGCCACGACAGGAAAGCCTTGTAGGGACATTGCTTACACCAAGAGCCATGCCCCGGTTTTCCGGCTCCATGGTATTGCCATAGCCCCTGCTCCCTCGTCGCCACTTACTCCAAATGTGAGGGTGTCGTCGCCTTCCCATGCCAATAGGACCACCCGTCATCATGGCCAAGTACGGTACGGGTACAGATACCTGAACCGCGTCTCGACGAGCCTGGGCAGTAATAATCCTGCTTCTTTCTTCCCTCTCTTCCCCCCCTTCCCTGCACGGCGCTAGAAGATGTGCCTACCCGTCCATGTCCACATGCCGAGCGGGCAGTGACATTCCTACCACATACCACAGGTGACAGCGCCCTCCACACTCCTATCTTCACCCCCTCTCCAACCGTCACGATGAGACCAGGGCGTATCGTACTCGTACCCAACGCAACGGTTGACCCTTGGGCGACAGGCGACACTCTCCCGTTTCTGAGGATCATCAGCCATCTGCGGGGGTCCGTCAGAAAATTATTCACAATGGCCACAGCTTCTCCACATGGTCACACTCGCATGTGCACATAATTAGGGCTCCGCCGTAAACTAACGTCGAGCGAGGCGTATGTTTAGTACCGTATTGCTTTCAGATCCAGTGCGCGTAGTAATAATGCACCCACAGCTGTAGACGTTCCCCTCGTCTGTGAGACTTTGTCTGTGCGACTTTGGCTCGTGGGGGCGTATACGGAGCAGTTCATCCTCGCCCGGCCACGCTCGCAGATGCAGCAATAGTAGCAATATTAGAACGGAAGTCGTGCCTCGGCGCGATACCCGTTCGCTCGAGATGTATATCCATAGATCCCCGGAAGCCAGCCAAGGGGTATTGGTGAGTTTCAAAGCCACCTGGCGGTCCCTTGAGTCGCTTGCAATCCCTCGTACTGCCGGGCTCTAGACTGTACTCGCGCCGCCCGCGCCGCCCGCCGAGCTGAGGGCCCCTCCCCCCAAGGAACGGATCCACTGGAGCGCGCACCCACGTCGAATAGCCTGTTCTAGAAGAGTATTTTGAGCATCGCAAGACATGATTTCATGAAGAGGGGGGGGGGGGGGGGGGGGGGGGGGGGGGCGGCAATATGTGGTCAGTTTCATGAGCAGGAGTGTCACGATGGTAGGGATTTCGCCGATCTCCCGATGCCAGGCGTGGCGACATGTAGCATGCGGCATGGTCCACCGTGCTCGAGTGGTGCCTCCCAAAGACCTCTCCTCCTTTGCTCAATACCCATAACTATGTCTCTGGTCCTTGGCGGCGCGATGCCACTGGAAACAGCCCTGCCCTCGCGTCATTGGCAGACAGTCTTCTCCTGAGCGGCTTCGCCCCTTCCTTCGGGCTAGACCACCAGGTCTGTCTGGTGGCCTAATACATTGCCAGACGGTACCTGTTCCTCGATGTCACCTCGGTACAGAGTTGTCAGTATGACCAGCGGGAATCTCATGCTTAGGGAGTAGGAAGTGGGATCTCCACGAGAAAAAAAAATACCGGTTAGAAATACCGGTCATACCACCACAACGAGGGAGCAGGACGGTCAACCCGTACCTTTGTTGGCGTCTAGACTCCCCGCTTCCATCAAGCAGCACGCTCCAGCGTTAATCCAAGCTTGCAGAAGCACCAAGGCTGTCGTTGCCTCTCGATAGCTCTGCAGGACGCTAAAAGCACTTCCCAGAGTCAGGAGGGCTGTTTGTCTGGTCCGTGGAACCTGTGCTGGCAACCCCCTGCTCCAACAAGCGCTTCTCAGAGAGGGCCACATTGGGCCTGGCCAGATCAGCCAACAAAGAGGATCATCCCCTACCCCCTCCTCGTTCCAGAAATCAAACAGGGCCAACTTTTGAACAATAAAATTCCGCACGTTGACGACATATACTTTACGCTTCTTTGAGACAGCCTCGCTGTCACTTTTTACTGTCCTCTCATGGATCCAGAGTAAGGAGGGGCCGGGCCACACCTAGTGATGGTAGTCTTACTGACTCTTTCCAACAACAGCACCATCCCACTCGATGACAGCATCGAGGAGACCTCTGAATATAATGGCCGAAGGTATCAAAGATACTCTTTGGAGAACAATACCTATTTCGCGCCCATCGACGAGGTAACTCCAGTCTCTGAAGAAGATGGCGAGGAGCACATCTAACGTGGTAATTTGGGCAGGGGGAGATTGCACGATTAGAGGTGGCCAACAGAGTCTTCCAGCAGTCTTTTGACAATAGACTGATATTTCCTCCGGTAACATCGCCTGATCATGTCCTAGACCTTGGTTGCGGTGGTGGAGACTGGGCCATCGAGGTCGCCGAGCAGTTCCCAGACGCCGAGGTATGTGTCTCCTTAACTTCCGAGTGAGAACATGATGGGCGCTGGAGTGACGACTTTCTCATGGTCCCGACAGTTGCTCTTGCTGAAAGGTCGCAAGCCGTCTCGACGGGGACTTCTCTCTCGTGGTCTGAGACAGCGAACAAATATCAGCCGGCTTGGGGCCGACCAAGAGTTTTCTTGATCTTGGTTGAGCGACACAGCAAGAGGGGGCCCTTTGGGATTTCGGGCACCAACCTACATATCTCGGAGACGAGTTTGCGCGCAATCTCATGTTCGATGTCGTTTCGGGGCTAACTCTAGCTCTCAAAGGTCCTAGGAATCGACATCAGCCCCCACATGCTGCCAGAATACCCCCCAGCCAACCTCGAACTCCAGGTCGATGACCTCAACAGCAGGTAGGTAGAATCATGTCTGTCGAGGTTGAAGTGAATTCCAACAGCCGACGTGACCATTATGGGAGAGCAGGTTCACGTTTCGATCCGACCAATTCGACATTGTCCACAGCCAAATGGTGTCGGGTGGGATACACGCCGACCGGTGGACTAGCTATATCAGAGATATTTTTCGAGTACTCCGACCGGGCGGGTGGTGTCAGATGGTGGAGATATACTTTAACGCACAGTCGGACAACGGGATGTTGACCAGAGGCGAGTGGGGAAGTCTGCGTGCCGCCAAAAGGGGCTTCTGCTGACGGTTGACAAGACCATGCCCTTTCGAGATGGTCGAGCAGCTACCTCCAGGCATTACAGCCACACAAAAACCCAAGGGCCCCGTTGCAGATGGCGGCCTGGATGAGAAATGCCGGTTTCAGGGAGGTAGAGTCACGACTCCTGACATTACCTATGTGCGGATGGTCAAGAGGTCCGTTGCCAGCTCACTTGGAGATGGAGTGGGAATGCGCTGACCCATACGCTCTCAGGGGATCGCGACAAGGCCATCGGGGAAGACAACGTTGAGAACATACAGGAACTTCTGCACTCGCTTGCTCTGTATCCTATGACTCGATTGAACGGGTTTGTGACACCTGACGAGGAGCTGAAGTCGATGATGCTAACATGACAATCCCAAGTATGCCCCTGGACGAATTCGAAAGATTGGTGGACGGGGCCAGGACCGAGGCGAATGACCCATCGCTCAAGGTAAGGGGACGGCATGGCTGATTTCAGCTGAGTGGAACGATGCTGACAATCACGGTTCGTGCCTGACGGACGAACAGGCATACTTTCCGTTGTGAGTTGTCGATATCCACGGCAATACCCCTGTGCGTATGGCCACGCTGATACTTTGTGGTAATAGATACGTTTGCATCGGCCGCAAGCCGAGTCGGTAACGTTGGCTTCTGCCTTAAATCCGTGGCTACATAGCAGCTGGCAGCGTGAGGCGGACAAGCTCTGAAAGAAGCCGTGCTAAGCCGGTAAAAGAAAAAGGCAGAAAAAATAAGGAGTGGGAAAATAACAAGGGAGCTCTCTGAGCTGTTGGATGATGGCAAGTCTACCCATAAAAAGGGCAGCGTCAATGGAAACGAAGGAGGGGTGGCAACGAGAAGCACCTAGGTATTATCCAAAAACATTTTGCTGGGTGAAACATTGTCATCCTACCCGCTTAACCCTCCAACCAACAACAGTGCGGCGACACAGTCCGAAAACAAATACATGATACCCCTGAAGGGTAGAAGCAGGAGGAGCAAGGGGAAGCAGTTGCTTTTTCCTTTTAGCGTCGAATGCATGGCCTAAACTGGTGGGAAAGAGCAATCCGAGTGCATACATGTAAACGGTTTGGGTGGGCAGGTACGAGCACGCATTTGCGGAAGGAGCAGAGGACTTGGCTGACCCGAAAGCCCAATCGGATGGGCTGGGGGGATACAGTCTCTTTCTCTCTTTCTCTCTTTCTCTTCTCTCTCTTCCTCTCCTCTCTCTTCCTCTTCTCTCTCTCTCTCTCTTTCTCCCCCCCTCTCTCTCTCTCTCCCTCTCCCCATGGGGCCTCAGACATGTTGCTACTGCTCTCGAGAAAGGACTAACGCATGAATGAAAAGAAACGTCCTTTTCTTTTTTTGGGCGCCAACCCACAAACACTCTATTGCTTCCATTGCAGTGACTGCAATGCCCATGACCTGACCGGGTGATGGAGTTGCCCATCTTTACTGGAACCCATGGACGGTACCCGCATTAGCCATAGCTAGTCATCGTGAGGTGCAAGGCCCACGTCGACACAAGACCAACCTGCTAGCGGATCAATCTGTAGTGACGCACATGCCTTCTGTCAGACCTAGGTCCAAGTCCCTAAAGGACATGCTTGTCATAAGACCCGCAAACTCACCGAGGGCAGCGATTCTGGAAGTCTCGGGATGGATTCCGGATCATGTACCGAAGACCAACCAGGCCACGTTCCCCACGGAAGAAGCTTTTCCTTTCTTTTCTTTTTTTTTTTGCTTACATCGTACCCTACTGTACTGGTCCACACAAAGACAAATCACGCGGGGTCATGGGAGCAAGATCAGAGGAGGTATCTATTTCGGTCCCACGATGGGTGACAAGGCTACTGCACTTACGGATTCGCCGCCTGCGATGCCGAACCCGGTTTTCTGATCCTACTTGCGACGTGCATTGGCAGCATCTTGACCTGCATAGGGTCTCAGTGTCGCCTTATCAATTCATAGCCCCCTTGGCCCATCTCGTTGCCCGTTCCTATGCCGTGAGCCCAACGGACATGGCACCTCCTATTCCTCCATGAGATCATGAGACTGGTGACGAATTTATCGACCTGCCTTCGAGAAAGATCCGGTGGTCCTTATTCTGGATATGATGCGACGTAAGACGGCAACGGTGATACGGGCATATCTGCAGACGCGCAAGGCCATGCTCCATCTCCCCAGAGACCCTGACTGTCGACATCGTGCCCGTCCGCAGAAGACGCACGTACACGCATACATTTACACCTGAGGTAGACACGCATGCTAGAAATTGGTTCGTTGTAGCTTCGTGGGATCTGACAGGCGTGTCTCAGCGCGTTGGCGATGCCGGTGCTGGGCGAAACCAGAAGGAGCGGGTTGGTCTTATAACTCATAGGCTGACGGCGATTTTTAGTAATATGGTCTCTAGCATCGCCATTTCCCCTGGTCTGGCGCGATGATTGGGGTTAAAAATGGGAGTCACTAACCCACCTAGTCCATATCAGTCTTCCCTACCAAGCGTCTTGGTAAATGGCCAAATCATCACGCCGCCGACCGGTCGAACATGTCGGGGGCTGCCTGGACAAGCGACGGGAACTGCGCGGGAAGTGGAGACGAGCCTTGAGAGCCTTGCCAGTAGTAATATCGAATACCGGACGGAGTGTGCCATGAGCGGACTCACGGAGCGACGTACGGAGGCCCGAGGGAAAGTGCGTGCTTACGGGATACGGGGCCTGTTTCGAACGAAGCCCAGATTGGACCGGCCAGCTGCAAGAGACTCCGCTATTGGACAGGGCCTGTGAATCTCTTGCAGCTGGTTAAGCCAGACACAGCTTAGCTTTTTTCTTTCTTCTCCCATGTTTTACGAATAACCGTCTTTTTTTAATCCTATTTTCTTTCCTGTTCCATAATATACCCCCAAGCTGTCATTCTTCCGACGAGCCGGCCAAACCGACCCTCTTCATTCCGACGTCAGTTCTGCCAAAGGCCGCTTCCCTGCTCCTGTCTCCTCTGGTACAATTCTGGAAGACTAATAATCCCTTCGAACCGACAGCCGCCGACAGACACGCAATGGCTGCTCGATGCTCCTCGTCGCTGCGGCTGCTGGCCCAGCAGCGACCATGTCGGACCGCTGCCGCTATCCCCCGAGCCGTCTATGTTGGTGCCTGGTCCACGTCACGACTCTACTCGACGACCGACGACGCGTCTGCTCCCTTCCTATCGACGCTCAAGGCCGACCTGAAGACGGCGATGCGCGCCAAGGACGCCCCCCGCCTGGCCGTCCTGCGCGCCATCATGTCGGCCAATCTCAACGCTTCCAAGACGAAGCAGCCCATCCGCACAGACGCCCAGCTGGTCCAAGCCATTGCCAAGATGCGCCGCACCGCTGAGGAGTCGGCCGTCGAGGCCAAGCAGGCCAACCGTGAAGACCTGGTAGCCAAGGCCAACGAGGAGGCCCGCCTGCTAGCCGAGTACGAGAAATCGAGCGGCGTCGAGACGGTCACGACCGAGGCGCTGGGGCCGCTCGTCCAGGGAGCCATCGACGCCCTCGTAAAGGAGGACCCCGCCGCCTTCCAAAAGAAGTCGGTTGTCGCCGACGTTATGAAGCGTGTCCGCCAGGCCTGCGAGGGCAAGATTGTCGACAACAAGGAGCTGTCCCATCTGGTCAAGACCACGGTCCAGGAGAAGGCCAGTTAGGGGAGCAGCCGACGAATGTCAGAATACCTACACTATCTGTATCACCATGCTGTACCAATAGTTACATTCAAGAGACCACCTACTACTCATATATTCAAACCTCATTTCTGGGCTCAGCTTGATGGCCTGCTAACTATGCCGCACGGGCGTGGTGCCCGCTGCGATTAGGTACCAGCACGGAGCATGCATTGCCATTCCCAGGCTCGACCGAGCTGAGAGCACATGTCAGGTAAGGCTCTCAGCGGGTCTCTTTCTCTGCTGAGATGGCCCAGGGTGAATGGCATACCGAGCAGGCACAGCAACACTACTAAAGGCAGGAGCGCGGCAAACGATTGACTGGGAGAGGGAAGCAGATACATCGATTATCGATTCGGGCATCTCAATCAATGGCATTCATGCAATGGCTTGCCTCTAAACAGCATCAGGCGTTGAATACGCTGTCCAATAGTCCTGGGCCTCGATCGACGCCTCTTATCGAGGATGAAAAAGTGGAGCGGTTCCTGTCCTCTGGTAGGGCGGGCAGGTGTCACAAAAGATTGCTTCGGTTGAGCTATGACTCCTCCCCCCCCCCCCCCCCCTTCCCTTCTCTGACTCAACCACCCAAAGACGTACCCCCCTTCTCTTCTTTCTCTTCTCCTACCACTGCGAGAGCACCTTTCCCGTGTCTTACCTCTGCTGAGGAATTGCGCGCTTTTCATCTACCATATTTCGCAATCTAGCACTTGTATGCATCATGTCTCGAGTCAACATCCGTTCTGGTTCTCCATTCGAGGCTGAAATAGGCTACTCGCGAGCCGTCGTCGTGGACGGCTGGGTCATGGTGTCGGGAACTACAGGGTGAGAACTTCTTTACCCTTGGCCTTCCTCTTGGACCTTACAGGGGGGGGGAGCTCATGGTCATTGATGTTTTCTCTCTATATGCAAGGTACAACTACGAGACTGGAGACATCTCACCTCATGTTGAGGAGCAGACGGAGCAGACGCTGGCCAACATCTCCAAGGCCCTGGAGGAAGCAGACTGCTGCATGGCTGACGTCGTGCGAGTGCGGTATATCCTCCCGGACCGAGTTGATTTCCCCAGGACCTGGCCCGTCCTCAGGAAGTGGTTTGGCCATGCCCGGCCGGCCGCTACTATTACGCAAGCGGCACTAATGCAGGAAGAGATGAGGATTGAGATTGAAGTTACGGCCAAGAAGGGCTGCGGGAAGGGGCAGAGGACTATCTGAGAGCTGAATAGCGAATACGGACAAGAAGGGAGATGGGGATCGAGGAAAGAAAGGGGGGGGGAGGAGAACGAAGAAACACGGTGGGTATCAGATGTATCACAGAGCCACGGTTGCGACTAGTCTTCCCGCAGCAAAGGCGCTGGCAATGGTCACGACACTCGACGTCGACAGCAGCGACAGGCCACTGATTCCGTGACCGGAAGTGCAACCGCCAGCCGTACGTGACCCGATGACCATGAGGATACCGCCCGCGACGGCGAGGACAGGTGATGGCTCGGACGCAGGGGCCCCTACCAGCTCGGGCATTATGCGGCCAAGCAGGTATGCACCACTGAGGACGCCCATGGAAAAGAGGATATTGCCATGACCAGGCTTGTCCACGGGGTCAGCCCCGGCGACTGCCCACCAGAAGAGCTTGCCCATCTCCTCGTAGCTGCCTGAGATGCCCAGCATGGAACGGCGGGATAGCATGGATACCAGCTGGGCGCCGGCGATGAGCAAGCCGCCCACGATGCCGAGAATCTCGGGCTCCGACGCAGCGGGGGTGTACACGGTGGTGACGCCGACGAGAGCCAGCGCCGCAGCCTCGAAGAGACAGAAGGCGGCCATCCTGGGAAGCCCCGTCTGGTCCATCAGGGTGTTGATCTCGGTCCTCGTCCCTTCCTTATCGTTCCGCCTCTTGACGGCTCCGCTCAGATACCCGCTCCAGATGATACCGCCGGCCACGGCACCCAGGAACGACAGGTATCCGGCACTCACGCCGGCGCCCATCTGCACGACCAGCGTTCCCGGGCAGGCTCCCGACAGGGCCATGCCGATGCCCAGCATGGACCCGCCAATGATGTTGCCATCATACTTGGAGAAGAGGCTGAGGGGGGAGTTGCTTCGGGGTGTGAGGCTGAGATAAGCCAGACGTTCGAGGACGGTGTAGATGGCTCTGCACGGGAGGTCATCAGTCACACACAAGGCAAGGTATGTACGTGTGTATGTGTGTGTGTGTGTGTATGTGTGTGTGTGTGTATGTGTGTGTGTGTGTATGTGTGTGTGTGTGTGTGTGATAGAGTCGAAAACACAAGGAGATGTGTAGGTGTAGGTGGGATGGGGAAAAAAAGATGAGCAGAGAAGGGGAGCAAGGGGATATGAAACATGCAGAGATTGGGGGAAAAAAGAAGAAAAAAAAAAAAAGAAGAAAACTCACGCACTGCCAGCCGTCGCCGTCATAAAGGTCTGGACCATATGCCAGTTATCAAATTTCAACTGCGAAACGACGATGGAAGGGTGATGGAAGCCCGCGGCCAACATGGAAGCCCCAAAGGTGACGCCGGATACGAAAGTTGTGGCCATGGTGACGAAAACACACAGCCCCCGATAACTGCTCAGCACTCACACACAAGAAGATATAAAAGGGGAAGAAGAAGAATGGCGGATGGAGGAAAGGTGAAAGGGAAGTAAATAAATCGCATGAGCCATCTGGAATGCAGCCCACACCACATTAATGGAATCTTGGACGATGCCGGAGAAAAAAAAAATCAACACCTTCAAGGGGAGGGGAAAGAAAAAGAAAATCGAATCATATTGGTGCCGGAGCCCCCCCCCCCCTCCTCCCCTCCAATAGCTCCGCCACTTCGGCGACCTTGGGGGCAGCGGAGGCGGTCCCCGACCGGCAACGGACTCTGTGAGTAATTAGCAGTGATAATTGATAATTATGAGAGTGATCACGACTTAAGAGTTGGTTGGGACGCCTGGGAAGAGGGCCGTTTCTTCGGGTCTGCTTTTTTCTCTTTTCTTCTTTTTTTTTTTGCCCCAGACACAGGACTGGAAACGTGGTGAAGTAATAGCTAAGGTGTGTTGGAACTTGGATCTCGTCTATATCTGTTCATATCTGTTCTGATCATTATCACACTCCAGAGACGAGATTTGAAAGTGGAAGAATTGAATTTGACATGTAACACCTCGCAGGATTATAACGCTGACCGCGGGCATTGCACTACATATATGACACATAGACCGAATAGTGGGATTCATAATCAGGTACTGATACGAGTATACCCAACAATCATAATATGAAAGTGTCGATATTGGTTGTAGAATAAATTGTTGCCTGGGTTCTGTTGATCGCCGACAGGTTGCTCTCTTCTTGCCTTGACATTGAGGGTTAGAAAAAACGAAGGGACGTATACATTGTACCGCCGTAGAACACCAGGTTGCATATACATGTGATCCGTACTCTCGCTCAGTACTTGAAGTCATGTATACTGCTATTACTGCTATCATGCGCTGATATGTATATAGGTAGAACTCTGAATACAACTGCCAGACACGTCGCATCGGTTCACAAGATCTGAACCGAGGTCAGTAGGGTAGGCCAAACCCTCGCAGGATAGAGTCGAGTGGTTGGTGGTGGTGACGTGACGCACCTCGGTTCGGATCCGTATCTGCGGGGGGGAGGGGCGGGATGGAGTTGACCCGATCGCTGATATCATATAATTTCAACAAAGACGGCATCAGATAGCATTTCGATGAAGAAGATCATACACAACCGACTTTCAAACAGCTTGGCCACCATCATCTCTGGACATAGGCTCGAGGAAGCAGACAATGTCACGTGTACTTCATCTCAAGCAGGTTCCCGGCAAGCCCGGCGAGGTGTACTACCCGTGAGTTGCCGACTTATACGTGTCTTGCTTCATGTTCTCGGCATCCGATTCTCGGCACTCAAAGCAGATGGGGATGGAGAGGAGGAAGAAGAGGGAATGGAGGAGAGGAAGACTGGGGAGATGGCGAGGACCAGAACTGACAGACGATAGCCTCCAGATCAGGAAGGTGCCGATTCCCCAGCCGGGCCAGGGCCAAGTCCTAGTGCGAATGTCGGCGGCAGCGCTCAACCACCGTGACCTCTTCATCCGGCACCACCAGTACCCGGCCATCTCGTTCGACGACGCGATGCTAGCCGACGGCAGCGGCACGGTGGCCTCCGTGGGGCCGGGAACGACGCGCGGATGGAAGGAGGGCCAGGCGGTGATCCTGACGCCCATGCGGGGCTGGGAGTCGGACGCGGCGGGACCGGAGGGTGGCGGGCAGGCGTTCTCGGTGACGGGGTCCAGCCGGCTGACGCCGGTGGGTACGGCGCAGGACTACGTCGTGGTGGACGAGGCGGAGGTGGAGGCGAGCCCGCCGCACCTGTCGGCCGCGGAGGCGGCGGCCCTCCCGCTCGTGGGGCTGACGGGGTGGCGGGCGCTGGTGACCAAGGCGGGCGAGGCGGCGGTGTCGTCGCCCGGGCGGAACGTGCTCGTGACGGGGATAGGCGGCGGGGTGGCGCTGCAGGTCCTCCAGCTGGCCGTCGCCATGGGGGCCAAGGTGTACGTCACGTCCGGGGACGCGGGCAAGATCGACAGGGCCGCCGCCATGGGTGCCAGCGGAGGCGTGCTGTACAGGGAGAAGGGCTGGGACGGGAAGCTGAGGGCCATGCTGCCGGCCGGCCGGCCGTTCCTGGACGCCGTCATCGACGGGGCCGGCGGGGACATTGTCGGCAGGGCCGCCAGGCTGCTCAGGCCCGGAGGCGTCATCGCCCAGTACGGCATGACGGCGGGGCCCAAGATGGACTGGAGCATGGGCGCCGTCCTGGCCAACATCGACCTCAAGGGTACGACCATGGGGTCCAGGAGGGAGTTTAGGGACATGGTCGCCTTCGTGACCGAGCACGGCATCAGGCCCATCGTCAGCCGGGTCGTCGCCGGGCTGGACAATCTGCCGGCCATCGACGGGCTGTTCGACGATATGGAGCGCGGGAAGCAGTTTGGCAAGCTGGTCATCCAGATTGATGGTGCTGGGGGGGCGAAGTTGTGACGTCACAGAAGATGTATTCAACAAGTAAGAGAGGGAGAGGGAGAGAGAGAGAGAGAGAGAGGGAGAGAGAGAGGGAGAGAGAGAGGGAGAAGTGGTCAACCTTCAATTTGTCGTGAATAATTACATTATGCCGATGCAAAGACACCCCTATCATCAGACCAGACATGTACAGGATGAGAAGAGGGAGAAGAGAGGAAGAGAAGAGAGGACGACAGGCCGAGAACTCCAATTTCATTCTTCCTCCTCTCAATCCTTGCTAGAACAAAAAAATATGTAAAAAATATGTAGAAAAAACTCTAGGCAGACGACTTCTTGCGCTTCTTGGACGGCCTGTCGCCAGCCTCCTCGGGGGGCACAAACTCTGCCTGGCGCTCCTTGTCCTTGTCGGCCTTCTTGACCTTTTGCTTCTCCATGCGCTCGTTCTGGGCGGCCCTGTCCTTTGCGCCCTTGGAGAGGAAGTGCTGGCTGGTCTCGATCTCGATGTCGAGCTTGCTCTTCTCGGGGGCGGGGGGGAAGGGGGTGTAGACCTTCTTGGACTTGTCCGTGACATTGAGGGGCTTGCGGCGGTGGCTGAGCGTCTTCCTGCCGAAGTCGGGGAGGAAGCGATCCCAGCTCTCGTTGGCGAGGTCGGGGTCCTTTGCGAGCTCCCGCTTGATCATGAGCTTCTTGACGTGGTAGATGGGGTGGATGTTTGCCATGCAGTCCTCGACGATGCGGCGTATCTCCTTGAGGCCCTTGTAGGGCCCCATGGCCGAGACGGTGTTGCCGTGGACGAGGATGTAGGTCTGGGTCAGGAGCTCGAGGGCCTTGAGGGTCGAGCCGTTGGGGCCCAGGATGCGCTGTCGGCGCTTGACGAAGCGCTCCTTGCTGTTGACCAGGTTGCGGATCTTGATGATGTCGCACGCCACGCCGTCGTCCAGGATCTTGACGGCCTGCGGGGCCGGCACGCTGCGTGCCAGCAGCTTGATCAGGTCGCGCGCGTTCAGGATCGCTGCCGGGTCGAACGTCTTGCGCGTGGTCTTGACCGTCATGCTGCCCTCCACCAGGTCGAGCGTGCAGGCGATGCCGTGCTTCTCCAGCGACTTGGTCACCAGCGGCCACGCCTCCTTCAGGTACACCTCGCGGTACTTGGGGAACAGGGTCGCAAACGACGACTCCTCGGCGAACGTGCCACCGACGTTGTCCTTTGGCGTGAACGCTTCCACCTTCCACTTGTCAATGTCGCCTGTGTCCCACGGCTTTTCCTTTTTGTGCGTAGATGGCATTGTGATGTGTGTGCGGGACGGTGGTGGTGGTGGTGGTGGTGGTTGCTACTCTACGTAGATTCGGTCTTCTTCTTCTTCTTCGTCGTCGTCGTCGTCGTCGTCGTCGTCGTCGTAGAGGGAATCAAAGGCAGAATTGACCGTGACTCTTGATCGATATCAGATGTTGAGAGTGAGAGAGTGATTAACGTAGGTTGAATGATTGTAGGGACAAATGTGTAGCAAAAAGAAGATACAGGCGATTCAAAAAAAAAAAAAGAAAAAAAGAAAAAAAAGAAAGAAAACCGGGGTTACGTTCGTCTTATCGGCCGATAGTGGGGTTTTTGCGCGGCCAGCAGTAGCAGCCAAAAGAAGAAGGAAGGGATCCACTGTAGTATGCCTCTAACCAATCAGAGGACTCAAATGGAACCTCCTTCCAAATATTTTGCAAAGGAGAGGCTCTCGTCTCGTCTGTCCTGTCTACGGGCAGACCATCACCATTCTTCTACGTTCCAACAACCTTCTCACCCTCCCCCCTCCTCTCCGTCCCCATCAGACTCATTCCACGCCGACGACGCCCATCATGTCGAAAAGGGGTGGCGCCATTACCGACCAGATGGTCAAGCTGATCGTCGGCGCCGGCCAGGCTAGTCCCAGTCCGCCCGTCGGTCCAGCCCTCGGTAGTAAGGGTGTCAAGTCTATGGATTTCTGCAAGGTACGGCTACTCTCCAGGGTATAAGCGAGAACCACCCGCTCACCCACGCTCCCCTTCCTCTCCCGACCTCGACCTCCTACCGATCCGGAGAGCAGTGATGTGCTGACGGCCACGCGCAGGAGTTCAACGCGCGGACGGCACACATCATCGCTGGCACGCCCATGCCTTGCCGCGTCACCGTCCGACCCGACCGATCGTTCCACTTTGAGATCCGCACACCGCAGACGTCGTGGATGCTCAAGAACGTCGTCGACGCGCCCAAGGGGAAGAAGGGCCGCAAGGGCGCCAGCAGACCCGGACACGAGACGGTGGGGACCATCAGCCTCAAGCACGTGTACGAGGTGGCCAAGATCAAGCAGTCCGAGATGCGGCTGGCGGGACTGCCGCTCAAGGGAATCTGCAGGGCCGTGATTCACCAGTGTCGATCCATGGGAATCAATGTCGTGGCATGATTGGCTTCGGAGGGAAACAAGGCAAGAGAAGCAAGAAGAGCAGAAACGAGAAACAAGATGTATATTACGGCATATATTGGAGGGGGGGAGAGAGAGGGTCCTGTAGCACCAAGGAGTGATTGGGATGGACATTTGTAATTCTATCTCGTGTGATGTATGTTAATGGAGCGTGTTCATGAGGAATAGCAACGTGTTGCTCTGATGAAAAGAGAGAGAGAAAGAGAGAGTGTGTGTATGTGCGTGCGTGCGTGCGTGCGTGCGTGCGTGCGTGCGTGCGTGCGTACATGTCAGGTCGGATTACGAGGTCCCCTCTGGATGCGGTGAATGTCTTGGCAGATTGGGTGCCTAAATGGTGATGACTACTAGCATCTTCAATTCTTGGGCTGTCAGGATGCGTACTTTCATATATATGATACCGGGACATCCTGTCCTTGATGGGTTATTCCTCTGGTTGCTGCCAAAGCCTGATATGGCGGTGATATCGGATTCACATGTGAGCCTTCGTCGGCGCGTCGGGCTGGACAGGACCACGATGGGGCAGACCCAATCAGTACGGGGGATCTGCAATGGCGGGAAACCTACGATGGATTGTCTCATCCGCCTTGCACGTAAAGATCGGTTGGTGATGGAGCTGGCTGCTTACTGCTGGTATCAGCTGGCATGGTCACGATGGATGGTAATAGCACTACCCATCACCGCGTGTATGTCGTGGCATCAGAATAGCTCGACTGGACGTACCGATAGATTGCTCTAGCCTCAGCATCATCATGTCTATATACACGGCATGACAATCGGTCTATCTCGTAGTATTCCACTACCTCTGGTACCGACGTCTGGTACCGACGCGAGTCCGAGTCCGAGTATCACGTATAATAGATGACGTGACATGATATCGCACTGCTCGTACTCGTGAGGCACGTGCTCCTCGTGATGATGCTGGTGATGATAATCTGCAGTTCAGGGACTGAGCATGACTGCTACGGTAATACATGATGATGATGCTCGTGGCAGGTAACCCACACTTCGCGTACGAGTACAGATTACAGTACCTCAAAGCTACATGAACCACGATGCATCGTCCCCGCCACTGATCGGCGCTAAACGGCTTCAGTTCACGGTACCGGATACGTATCTCGCTGGGCCCGTTCTCCCCCTTCCCTCTTCCGGCCTTGACTTCCTTGTATGTGAGTTGACCGATGCTGACGGGCGGGTTCTAGTCTCCTCCTCACTCGCCCACACACACGACGCACATAACACACAACTCACGTACACACAGCACACATACAGCCCACACACTTACAGCACACGCGCATATCTCTTCTCGCCTCCGCAAGACGACCAACCCAACGTCCCCCCTCCTTCCTCACTACCGCGGTACTGGCAAAAAGTCCGCCTCCCGCGCTGTTGCTCGGACTAGCCATAATGGATGGTCATGATGACTCCCCACCGACTACTCGGGACCAGGAAAATCCCCGAGTCCAGGTTGTAGGTACGTACATGCAAATCGGTCCTTGCCGGCCCTTCCGTCCATTACTTTCTTTACCTTGTTAGCAGCAGCGGCGGCGGCGGCAGCAGACTGCATCTTTACTATTCGGTAGTCGTAGCGCCAGGTAGTGTCTCAGTATCACCTACGCATGTTGGAAATACGTAGGAGTTATTGCTGCTACTGGACGGATGCCGGCAATCAACTCGCCCGTACTCGTCCTCGCTGTACTTCTTGCGTGTGCTGATACCAAGACCGCCAAGTCTACGGAGTATTGCTGCATGTTACTTTCCAAGCCAGATAGCTGCTGCTTCTGCCGTTGTCGCTGCCGTCGCTGCCATTGCTGCCCCGCCACGCCAAGTCAATCTACACACCAAATCGTCAACTGCCACAGCTCAGCTGTTCTCATTCTTTTTTTCTCTCTCCCTCTCTCTCTATTCCTCTTCCCTCTCCTTTCTTATCCTCCCACACCACGCACGCATCATCTGCTGCACATCCACCGATCCCCTCCAGCCCCTTCGCCGGTCAATATTTTTGCTAATGTCTTCCCCCTCTCCAGATCCTGGGCCCTCCCAGGACTCTGCTGATGCTGGCCAAGCCGATCGGCAGCAGGCCCCCGCCGGCGCCGCAGCCGTTCGCTTCTCTTCGGCTATCGAGGAGATCGTTCCCGAGTCAGCCGACAGCGGAGAGAAGGATGATGCCTCCTCTCCTCCTCAAGGGATACCATCTGTCCAGGAACCGAGGGGTCCGGCAAAGCCCGCCCAGGGTCTGCTGCTGCAGGAGCGTCGCCTCAGCACCTACCAGTTCGAGACCTTCTCGCTGCCTGCGTCTAGAGTACGTCATGATCCGGTCTGCGCGTCATTATCTCCCCCGCCGACCCTCCTCCGCCCTACCCTACCCTGCCCTACCCTTTCCCCTTCCTGATCATCACCTATTCCGGGGACGGGGTGGACAAGAAGAAGGAAGAAGGCTCACACAGACCATTTCTTTCCCGATAGGCCGCCTCTCGCGAAGATGAATCGTCATCCGATACATCCCGCCTTCCGACGCCCAACTCGCCGCGCCACCAGCATTTCCCGTCCCACGGAAGCCCCAAGCTTACCGGAGTCTCGTCGCCGCCCCTCACACCTTCCGGCTCGGGCAATACGATCCCGGACAGCAAGAGACCCGTCAAGGACGCCGACGCGGCGTCCTTGGGTGCCGGTGACGGCCAAGCTATTACCCCGCAGGCGTCCATGTCGCACGATGGCAAGTCGCCGCGCTTCGCCCAGCGCCAGTCCCTCGCCCACCGCCCGGCCTCGTCGGACCACGTGCCGCGCCGGTCGACATCGATGGAGGACAGGCAGGCCGACGCCGGCACCGGCGTCGGCGTCGCCGGCGGGGCAGACCTCCGATCGCATCGGCGCATGCTGGGCCACGGAGGAGCCTCGATGCCCGGCTCCCGAGAGTCCAGCCCGTCGAGGACCGCGTCCAGCATCTTCTCCAAGCCCATGACGCCCGGCGGGGACATCAACGACCCTTATGCCAAGGGCCGGCGCCCCCCTCAGAGCCACCACTCGCCCAGGACCATCATCGACCCCCGCTTCGTCTTCTCGCGCAAGAAGAAGAGCTCGTCCGCCAACTCGTCGACGACCAACGTGTCCGAGAAGCTGGCCGGCGGCGCCTTCAACAGGAACTCGAGCAACGAGGCCGCCGTCGCCAGCGACGCGGCCTCGACGCATAGCGGACACGCGAGCTCCATGTCCGACCTGAAGCGCTTCTTCAAGGGTGGGCGCCACAAGGGAGGCCACCACCACGGCCACGGCAACCACCACAGGAACAAGAGCCGCCAGGCCTCGCCGGCCCCCTCGGCGACGAGCGCCAGGAACACGTCGGCCTCTCGCGCTCCGCAGCAGGTCCCCTTCGGCGAGGACCACGCGCTCACGACCAAGTACGGCAAGATAGGCAGGCTGCTGGGCGCGGGCGCGGGCGGCGCCGTCCGGCTGCTCAAGCGCAAGGAGGACGGCACCGTCTTCGCCGTCAAGGAGTTCCGCCCCAAGCACGCGTACGAGAGCGACAGGGAGTACGCCAAGAAGGTGACGGCCGAGTTCTGCGTGGGCTCGACGCTGCACCACGGCAACATCATCGAGACGCTCGACATCGTCCGCGAGAACTCGACGTGGTATGAGGTCATGGAGTACGCCCCCTACGACCTCTTCGCGACTGTCATGACGGGCAAGATGTCGCGCGAGGAGGTCCGCTGCAGCTTCCTCCAGATCCTCAACGGCGTCACGTACCTGCACAGCCTGGGGCTGGCGCACCGCGACCTGAAGCTAGACAATGTCGTCATCAACGACAGGGGTATCATGAAGATCATCGACTTTGGCAGCGCGCACGTGTTCCGGTATCCGTTCGAGTCGGATATCGTCAAGGCAAAGGGTATGCTTCCCCCCCCCCCCTCCCCCCGTCTCACCCTCGCCTCACCCTCGCCTCTCCTCTCTCCCCCCTTACCCTCTCAAGACGGACGGCGGATGTATCTCGGGAGCGAGGATGGAAGCGAGAGTTGGGGTGCTACCCTGACGCTCTGCACATGTCACGGACTGACGCCCGCAAAACAGGAATCGTGGGATCCGACCCCTATCTCGCGCCGGAAGTGCACAAGGAGAAGGAATACGACGCCGCCGCCGTCGACATCTGGTCCCTGGGCATCATCTTCTGCTGCATGACGCTGCGCCGGTTCCCCTGGAAGGTGCCCCAGCCGTCTGACAACTCGTACAAGCTGTTTGCCTCGGAGCCGACAGAGGGCCACGACCCCAAGACTCTGGTGCATCCCAAGAAGAAGGCGAGCGAGCACCCGGACGGGGAGCAGCCACGCAGCGCCCCCGCAGAGGATGCCACCGCCCAGGCTGGGGACGCGTCCGGCAGGGAGGCGAAGCCTGGCAGCGAGCACGCCGGCGCCCCCCCTGCCGACAGCAGCGGCGATGGCGGCAACGACGGCAGCGCCGCCGCCGCCGCCGCCGACGACGACGACGACCCGCACGCCCGCCACCACAGCCCCGGACACCACGGGGGTCATCACGGGCACCACGGCAGTCGCCACGGCGGCAGCCACCACGGGCACCACAAGAGGACGGGCTCGGGAGCTGCAGCCGCGGCACGGCCGCCGGAGGGTGCTGGCGGAAACGATGCTGCCGGCGCCGGCGGCGCTGCCGATGCCGCTGCCGACGCTACCGGCGACGGGCCAGCTCCTGCAGAGGTCACCAAGGACCAGCAGGCACAGCAGCAGGGCGAGAAGAAGGAAGTGATCCGCGGCCCGTGGAGGATCCTCCGCCTGCTCCCGCGCGAGTCCCGCTACATCATCTGGCGCATGCTCGACATCAACCCCAAGACCCGGGCCACGCTCGAGGAGATACTGAGCGATGCCTGGGTGGCTGACTCGCAGATGTGTCACCAGCTGGACGACGGGGAGGTTGTGCCGGCGGACGATCACAAGCATGTCCTGCAGCCTCCCAGCGCTACATGATGAGCATGATGAGCAAGTAGAGGGGGGGGGGGGGGGGGGGGGGGGAGCGAGGCCGCACGTGTCGGAAGAACGGAATGGGTTTCCGGCGACGACGCGTCGTCTGACGACGGGTTATCCGGAGGACAGGAGGGAAGCAGAATATCGGATACGGCGACGACATACACAGCTCGGATCTTAGAAGCCAAGTACAGACTAGAGAAGGGGAATCAGGCAGAGCCGTGTACATGAGATGATGGATACGAGTAGACATGCATGTTGGCGTGCATGGGAAACCTTGCGAGCACTCTCTATACTACGCTTGGGGGGGGGAGGGGGTTGGGTCGGGGATTAGAGGGGGGAAGCACGACGGCTGATCTCTTCATCCGTCGTCTACATTGTCTCATAATGCTCTGTGGTGGTGGTAGACTAGGATGAATACCATCTGCTGCCCTGCGGTGTTGATTGGAAAAGAGGGTGACGAGGCTTGGTCGTCGGAAATAAGCTCGTGGCCATCCGAACGAGATGCAGAGTGGGAATCTAGAAATCGAAATCGATGCCATGGCCCATTACTGTATCGTGCTTCGTATATGATCATCTGCCATGATACTGATAGCATATTACTACTACTACTACCAACCATACGACGGACAGATCTCGGTGATGAGAAGACCGTAGCTGGCTACAGGGCTATAGATGGGTCTTACGAGTACGTTTACTATATGATACCATGTATGATACCATGTATAATACCATATATGATACCATGTATGATAGATACCATGTATATATAAATGTACAGATCATCACAGACAGCACGTCGTACTTTCTGGAAGCTCTTAGAATGAGAGCTCCACTTCCACCCCCAGGGACCGAGACCCAGACCCGCGTCGCCTGCGCGCTGCCTGGCTGAAATCCCGGCGAACCAACCAATTGGCGAGTAGCCGGGGGGGGGGGGAGAGCCTCGATGAGCCGACGGGCGAGAAGCTATTTTTCTCTTCTCTCCTTCCTTCCTTCTCTTCTCCCTCTTCTCTTTTTTTTTCTTTCTCCTCTTCCACTCCAATCAGCCCAAAACCATCAAGCTTGTCAATTCTCCACCTCACCAGCGTTTTCTCTTCCCACCAATCGCGTCGATTCACAATCACACTTTTTTTCCATTCACAATGGTACGTTTGAAACCCGTAGAACGGGAGAGAGAGGGGGAGAAAGAGGGGGAGAGGGAGGGAGAGAGAGAGAGAAGGCACGACGAGGCTGACAGTTGGGGGGGGAAACTAGGCCACCTCTATCCGTTCCATCCGCGCCCTCGCCCCCCTCCTGGACCGCGTCCTGGTTCAGCGGGTCAAGGCCGAGGCCAAGACCGCAAGCGGTATCCTCCTGCCCGAGAGCAGCGTCGAGAAGCTCAACGAGGCCAAGGTCCTGGCTGTCGGGCCCGGCGCCCTGGACCGCAGCGGCGCCCGCCTCCCCATGAGTGTCAAGGAAGGTGACCGCGTCCTCATCCCCCAGTTTGGCGGGTCGCCCGTCAAGGCTGGTGAGGAGGAGTATCAGCTTTTCAGGGACAGCGAGTATGTTTCCCCCCCTCCCCTTCTCTCTCCCTCTCTCCCTCCCCCCCTCCCTCCTTTTCTTACACCCACCTTCATCTCTCACATACCTTGGATCTTGCAAACCTCCCCTTGCCAGGTCCGATGGGTGTTGATCTGGGAGTCTGGAAAGGAACGTTCACTGACCGAATCCGCAGAATTCTCGCCAAGATCAACGAGTAGAGCAAGATTGAAGAAGAAGACGAGAAACTTGCCTTGTTAACGCTACCACCGTCCGGACCGTCGCCAGGCAGACAAAAGACACGACCTGAATTTTATTTTTTTTGTACCATAACTGTACTATAAACGTGGCATAAGCTGGGACTGGGGACTGGGAAGGAGATGGGAGGAAGGGGGAGGGAGGGAACAGCTGACTCGTCTGTTTTTTTCCCTTCTTCTTTTTCGAACGAGAGAGATGTTTGCTCCCCCTTTACTCCGTCTCGTGTGATATTAGGGATAAGATATTTAAAAAGGAAAACAGATGTAAAAAAAAAAAAAAATTAGAGTGTGTACAGAATCGGGGATATGCCAACGACAATATAATGAAAAGAAACTCTGCTCCAAACTTGTTTTCTCTCTCTCTCTCTCTCTCTTTTTCTTTTCCTTTCTCTTATCTGTCATTCGTCTCTTGCGGTTCGTGAGAAGATGCCACCGGTTCCACGGAATCCGCTCCCCGGACCGGATATCCTGGAGGGTGAAACTCCCGGACAGCACACGGTTGCATCAAGATGGCTGGCTACACAGCTTTGTACATATTGATCTGGCCCGGGGGGAGGTTGGCTTTTCTCTCTAGCTGTTCTTTACGTGGAGCCCTCTCTCTCTCCCTCCCCCCCCCCCTCTCTTCTCTCTTCTTCTCTCTTCTCATCTTTTCTCCTTCAGAAATCGTGGCCAACGTCCCACGTCCCGGGGCTTACATAGATGATGAAACAGCCACGGGCTCAGATCAGGAGGCAGACAAGGCGATACAATGGCATATACGAGTACGGACACGGTACGAAACGTCGTCTATCCTGATTCTCATCTCATACCCTTGCTCTCGTGAACTCTATCTGCCATGCTTATTCCCCCCCCCCCCCCCCCCCCCCCCCCCCCCCCTTTCTCTCCTCTCTTTTCTTTTTTAGGAAATTGTTCCAGCAACAGACCGAGTATCATAACAGAGGTTCTTTGAAACGAAACTAATCCGATGGGAGGTGGGGGTGGGGGGGAGGACACGGACCTAAATTCAACTCAACCCCCCCCCTTAGACTGATACGAAGTGACCGGCGGCTAATATCAGGACGAGGGCAGCTGAGCTACACTACACGTATCTCTTGATGATACTGCTGATAGTAGTGGTCAGTATTGTACATGGATCTGCGTACCGGTAACAAGGGCGCTTGTGTAGGAGACTGCCCGTCTGATCATGGCCCCTCCCCGTCTGTTTCCCCCTTTCTTTCCTTTTTTTTATTCTCTATTTTTGTCTCTCGTTTCGTTTCATGTGGCATGCATACCAGGTCCCGCCGGGGTGGGGGGAGGGGTTTGCGACGCAGGGAAACATTCTGTAGATCACTGGGTTGCTACGGGATAGATGGTATGGATTGGATTGGATTGCGGGATGACGCAGTGCAAGGGAGAGAGTCTCCTGCTCGCCCATGGGTTTCCTGGAGGATGGATATTTCCTGCCATCACTACTACGCTGGTATATATATCGACGGCTGGGGGGCGTGATGTCGTTTTGACTCGGGCCCTGCCGTTCTCTCGACAACCATCTCTCGTCCTCTCCCGCTCAACATTCCTTTGAAGAATCCGGCCTTGACGGTCATTTTCTTCTCTTCCTTCACTTCTCGATTCTGACCTTTTCTTGCTCCTCACTCCGTATTCTTTCATCTATAACTTGGTTCGCCTTCTTCTATATATATCTATATATTCTTCCCCATTCTCCTCCCCCCCCCTTCCGACCTTCCAAACTGATTCTTACCAGCTGGATCTGGATTCAACCTACTTTTCCTCAGTGCTACGCTACAGACCTCACCGCTACGAGCAGCCATGATGCTATTTCCCGTACTTGGCATGGCCTCCATGGCGAGTGCTCATACCCTCTTCACCACACTCTTCATCAATGGCGAGAACCAAGGTGATGGGACGTGCGTTCGTCTGCCAGAGGACCCTCAGACGGCGACGTACCCCATCTATCCGCTCCAAGGCGAGGAGATGGCTTGCGGTACGTTTTTTCTCCTACACACACACACACACTCTCTCTCTCTCTCTTCTTCTTCTTCTTCTTCTTCTTCTCATCGATCCTTCTTCTCCTGCTCCTTGTCCCTCTCTTCACCTTGCTGTCCCCAACCACGACACTGACCTGTCCCGATCTAGGCTACGACGGCGAAGAGGCAGTGCCGTATACCTGCTCATCCCCCTCGGGAGCGCGCCTGACCTTCGAATTCCGCACGTGGCCCGACTACGAGAACCCCGGCAGCATCGACGACGGTCACAAGGGCCCCTGCTCCGTGTACATGAAGAAGATGGACGACATGGACTCGGACTCTGCCAGCGGCCCGGGGTGGTTCAAGGTCTGGGAGGACGGCTTCAGGGACGACGAGTGGTGCGTTGACCGGCTCGTGGCCAGCGGGGGCATGCTGTCGATCGACCTGCCAGCCGGCCTGGAGCCGGGATACTACCTCGTGCGCCCGGAGCTGCTGGCCCTGCACCAGGCGTACCGCGGCGACCCGCAGTTCTACGCCGGATGCGCGCAGATCTTCGTCACCGACGGTCCGGACGGTGGCGGTCCGGGCGCGGACGAGACCGTCAGCATACCCGGGTACGTGAGTGCCCAGGACCCCGGCTTGTCGTTCAACCTGTACGAGGGGGACGCGACGAGATACGAGATGCCCGGTCCGGCCGTGTACGGCTCCGGCGCCGGTGCCCGTGCCGCCGCCGCCGGTGGCGGTGGTGTTGCGTTGAAGCAGAAGGAGGGCGCGGTGCCGGGCGATTGTCTGGTCAAGAATGCCAACTGGTGCGCCAGACCGGTGCCGGAGTACGATGACGAGGACTCATGCTGGGATGCCGCCGACGACTGCTGGGCGCAGAGCAAGGCGTGCTGGAGCACGTCGCCCGTCACGGGATCCAGGAACTGCGGTGTCTGGGCCGATTACTGCGCTGAGACGAACGACCGGTGTGAGTCCGGGGGCCGGGAGAGGCTGGCGTTTGGCGGGAAGGAGTGGCAGGCCCCGCTGCCGGCTGCTATACCTAAGCCGTGGTGAGGGAGTTGCCGGCGGAGGGGAGGAGGGGTAGAGGGTCGGTCCATGCTGGTACGGATGAGTGTATGTAGTCGCGTAAATATCTGAACCTGAACAAGCTATCTGATGATGGATGCTGGCACATGTCAGCCGTGATATACTCGTAGGTGTGGTCATGGTGTATCATTACGTGAGTACGGAGTGATATGGTGGTAATTACAGTGGCAATACAGTAGCAATTACAGTAGCCATACAGTAGCAATTACAGTAGTAATACAGTAGTAATACAGTAGTAATACAGTAGTAATACAGACGATCACGTTCCCCACCTTGTGCGTACGTATTACTCCTTGCACCGCCTCTCCTCGGTCTGATTGCTGGGGTGGCAGAGGTAGCACTGTAGCGCTGTAGCGCTGTAGCAGTATGTAGCAGTGACGTTGGCGGCATGTGCCGCTGTCTCCCATGTGCCATGGGTTGGTTGTAGAGTCCCAACAGCTGAGCCCAACATGGTACGGATGAATTCGTTCAGGGTGTAACAGTATATCTCACATGTATCGCGCATGAATCTGATGAGCTGTCCCAACGTCGATTTCTCTTACTCGGACGCGGTGACACACATCCAAGAGAAAGAAGGGAAGAGAAGAAGAGAAGAGAAGAGAGAAACAGCCCAGCTGGCGTTGCATCATCATCAGAAGATGGCGCAGCCAGCTCCCAGCACTAGAGGTCCCCTAGGTCCAGTGCATAGGCCCGCCTTCCATCGGTGTAGGTGGGGGACGCTAGGAGAGGCCGCTGTAAATATCACACTCCCGCTAGAGAATACCCCGCTACGGCGCAGGCCATCTTCCTCTGTAAACCGGAACTGTACTGGGACCTAGCGCTGGACCTCCTACGGGATTACAGATCAGACACTAACGGGTCGGTACATCGTGCTACTCCGTGCAGGTAGCAGTGGGAGGTGATAGCTGGCCTGTCCCCTGTCCTGCTTGTCCTGTCCGCCGCCGCATCTGAAACTCCCGTGCCCCCATCCCAACGATACCCCATCCTCTCCCATCTCTCTTCATCACTCGGCCTTTAACCCTCCCCAGCGACGACCTACGACGACGACGACGTGGAACAGGAGAAGAGAAACAAGAAGCATTTTCCATCCCCGAAAACAAGAAACGAACACAGCACACACAGCGCACACGCACACACGCACGCATACGCGCTCCTCCCTCCCCCCTCTCGACGACTGCCGACCGACCGACCCGCCTGTCAAGAACCGACCCTCTTGCCTCGTCTCTGTTTTGAACACAGCGCCCCTCTCTCCTCTCTCTCCCCGATTTGCAGTCGTCCTCTCTGCTCCACCGCCCTTGGGAGTAAGCCAAGTTGCTACCTACCACCACCACCACCTTATCATCATCATCACCACCACCACCATCACACGCACACACAGCAACGACATTAGCCCACCATGTCGAGCAATCGCAACTATGATTTTCTGGTACGCAGCATATTCCTCGTGTCGCCCTCCCCCCCCCCCCCTGCATTTCCCACGCACGCCATCCCGGTGTCACGAGGAGGGAGGGGAAGAAGACCTGCTGCAATACTGCAATCTTCGTCTTTCCTCTCCCTCTCCATCTCTCCTCCCTCCCTTGCCTTGCGCATATATCGCAGAAGCACTCACCTCTGGTGTTTGCCGTGTGCTGCGAGCAGAAGAAGGATGTATGATGATGATGCTGCTGCTGCTGCCGCCGCTGCTGCTCTCTTCCTCAGACCTCGCTATCGTCATGGGGGATACACGCAAGCACCATGGATTATTATCGGGGGGGACAGAGATGATGACAGTAATTGACTGATCGACTGTACGAAAACAAAATAGATCAAGCTACTCCTCATTGGCGACTCGGGCGTCGGCAAGTCATGCTGTCTGCTACGGTTCAGCGAGGACTCGTTCACGCCATCCTTCATCACCACCATCGGCATCGACTTCAAGATCAGGACTATTGAGCTCGACGGGAAGCGCGTCAAGCTGCAGATATGGGACACGGCTGGCCAAGAGCGCTTCCGCACCATCACCACCGCCTACTACCGTGGTGCTATGGGTATATTGCTAGTGTATGACGTTACCGACGAGAGGTCTTTCAACAGTACGTCTCTTTCCCTTTCCTCCCCCCCCCCCCCCCCCCCCCCCCCCCCCTCTCTCATATAATTCCATCTCGGGGTTTTTTTTTTTTTTTTGGCGCGCAGCCTATGCAGACGTCATCTCTTCTCCATCGAGCATCACACAAGCGTCATTCCCCGACCTGACCAATACTTGCTGACTGATTTCCAGACATCCGCACGTGGTTCGCCAACGTCGAGCAGCACGCCACCGAGGGCGTCAACAAGATCCTCATCGGAAACAAGTGCGACTGGGAGGACAAGCGCGTCGTCAGCACCGAGCAGGGTCAGGCCCTGGCCGACGAACTGGGCATCCCCTTCCTCGAGGTCTCAGCCAAGAGCAACATCAACATCGACAAGGCATTCTACAGCCTGGCCGCCGACATCAAGAAGCGCCTCGTCGACTCTTCCAAGAATGAACCCGTCTCGGGATCCGGCGTCAATGTCGGAGACAAGTCGAGCGGAGCAGGCGGCAAGTGCTGCTAAACGGTCCTTTCATTATTGTCATCATTATTATCATTATTATTATCGGAATGTGCAGACCAACGAGAACAAGGAAGAACCACATGAGGGTCGAACCGGAAAAGCAGGAAGATTCCACGCTCGGCCGTCGAAATAAAGCTGGATCGGATAATGAAGGATAGAGACGGGCACACAGAAAGGAGGCGGAGAGGGGAGGAAGGATCAAGACAAAGATACAAACCCAAATTATATTAAAAAAAAAAGAAGGTGAAGAGATTCAAGAGGTGGACAGGAGATCGGAACAACCATCAGCGGTTATGCAAACCCTGTTGTATCTGGACTCGTTTGGGGGGTTTTTCTTTTTTTTTCTCTCCTTATTTTTCTGCCTTTGTTCTATCCCCCTTTCCCTTCTTACTTTTCTTTTTTCATCGGCAACTCTGCCAAAGCAGGCCGACAAAAACGTCGCATCTTGGCAGGCCAGAAACCAAGAGAGAAGAGGTGTGTCAAGGGAACGGAGGAGACAGCGGGTTTCATTTTCCCTCTTTTTTCCTCCTCCCCTTTCTTCTTCCCATCTCCAAGCCTCTTTTTTTCTTCAAAGTAAGAAGGGATACATCTTGATCAGCCTTGTTTCTTCCTCTTCTTTTCAATTGTCGGCTTTCTTTTTTTCTTCTTCTCCCCCCCCCCCCCCCCTCGATTCATTCTTGACGAACTCCCACAGAAGGCAGTGTCACCATGTGGTACGTGCTGATCCCATCCCCCCCCCCCCCCCCCATTGGATCTCAACTTTGCTCTTTCACATATATACAAGGTGGTCTCTCTTCTTTTATTGCCCCCCTACCCCGGGCTGAGAGGACATCAACGATAAACATGGCTGGGATTTATCAAAACAGGGCGTGCGATGTGCAGCTTCAGATCGGCAAGTTGCATTGCTCGAGATGACCGTCTCTTTCTCTTAAACAATTTTTTTTTTGGTTTTTATTTCGCTCTGTTTCCTCTACTTTGACCCCCCCCCCCTTTTTTTTTCAAATACTCTTTAGAGAGAGAGAGAAAGAGAAAACACGAAGTTGTGGTTCTTTGGAGTTTTTATTTATTTATTCATCATCTTCTTTTTTTTCCTCGCCCTGGCCGTTTTTTACTCTTGTCTCCTTTTTATTTTATTTTTGCCCTGGTCGTTTCTTTTTTTTTTTCAAAAGAAAATCTCAACTTCTAGTCTTTAATTTGATGCCCGTCTAATATCTTGTCAAAACATCTTGCATGGTTGAAATTTCAGAAAAATGTGACGTTTTATACAAGTTTTATATAGAGAGAGTACAGTTACATGTTGCGCTTGTTGTTTATGCTCACGGCGGGGAAGAAGGCAGGAGACATCCTGATGAAAGGCAGGAAAGAGAAGGGTGAAAAGAGAACGCAGAAGAGGAAAATGGCAAATCACCATTGTATCAGCGACGTCGTGACCTGAGATCGATACATGACCTGACCATGGTCCACGTGAGATAGAAGACGACCGTTCCACTGACGATGGAACCTCCTGGCCTCCCATTCTGTCTCGCAGGCAACGACGAAGCGGGATGCCTCGGCGGCAGCGGCAGCAGCCTGGTCGGCGCCAAGTTCCTGCGCATCAGCGTCTTCCTCTGCCTCCGCTTCCGCCTCGCCAGCGCCCTGCCCCGGGGGTTTGTCGGCAGCAGTACGCGGCGTACTGACACGGACAGGTCGCGATACCCTCCAGGCCAGATCCCTCTCCCACCCATCCTGACGGATGAAGTGGGCCAACCCGCCGGGGGTCACGGCACCAGGTCTGAGGTCGACGACGACGACGGGCGGTCGGGTGCCGTACCCCAGCGGCTCGACCAGCTTGGAGAGCCGGCGCGACCACGGGTAGGGCAGGGACACGCGACGACGATGGATGATCAGGTCGGGCTGTGAGGGGCTGGCAAGCGTCAGGGCTGCAACGTCATTGTCGTAGTCATGGTCTGGGTGGCCGGGTGCAGCGCCGGACACCAGCAGGTGAGGAGGCACGGTCGACTTCCACAGCCCGGTAGGGGACGACAGCTTATACCGTGCTAGGCGCTGGATGCGGTGGAGGTTGGCGTGGTAGGCGGCGGCGGCCGTAGCGTTGGAGAACGAGACTTGGTAGCAGCCTGTTGGTTCGAGGGTGGAGGGATGGCGTTGCTGCTGGACTGGTTGGTTGCCAGTGCCAGCGTCAGTCTGGGTGGACATCCATCTCGAGGAGTAGAGAGTAGAAAGAGGGAGAGGGAGAAGGGAGAGAGAAGGTACCTTTGGTTATGGTGCTATCCCATCCTGATAGAAATTTGGGCGCCAGTCGGTAAAAGTCGGTGGGGGAGACGTTGTCGCCCAGACCGTGGATGAGAAGCATGGTCCTGCTTGTGTCGGGGGAGGATTTCCTGACGCTGCCCCTGCCTGCTTCACCACGGCCGTCACCCTTTTCTGTCGTCCCTCTGCTGCTGCCGTGGTCTCGGTGAGGAGACCGACCTGATTCTCCCCTCCTGATCTTGTCGGCGCCCGCGGCTAGAGCCGTCCAGTCTACCTCGTCGCGACTGGTGACCCACGAGGTCGAGGTCGCGGCTGTCCGTCGCGGTGGACCCCGTCTCTTGTTGTTGTTGCCCGTATCTGAACTTGCTTTGTTTGCTGTCCTCGCCTCTGTGTTCTCGTCATCGATCGTGCCATCACCCTCAGTCGTCATCGTCTCCTGCTGTTGTCGTCGTCTGAGCTGTGGCCACTCGATTGCTGCCCCCGACGGTCTGGAAGACCACGAAGAGACGGCCCTGGTGCTGCTGCTCGGCCATAGTTGCGGCTTCGCATAGCGGGACCACTGAAGCCGTCTCATGCGAACGGGTTGGGCATCTGGTGACTGCCGTTGTTGGGGAATACCTGGGGGCAGGTGCGAGAGTGTGGTCTGTGCCTTTATTCTCTGTCGACTGCGGGAGGTTGCTGACGATGAGAAAGAAGGAGATATTAGCCATCGACTGTGGAGTATTGAAGCAGGGACCGATCTTGGGGGAATCGGGATACAGAGGTACATGGGGGGAGGGGTGGAGGGGTGACAGAAACAGTGGTGCACATTACCCCAAAAGGGATTGACGACGGTATTATGAATGTATGATAATGATATTATTACAGCGTAGAGAATCTCGGGGACTTTGAGGTCTCTTCATACCTCCTCCTTTTCTCCGGTATAGATTCTCTATAGCAATGCTACATTTGACAAAATCTCCTTCCCGGTGACTTCATCTTATCCCTAGAAAGATTGGAAAGATTGAAAAGTTCGACTCTAGGAAAGTGGGGAGAATCCAAACGAACGCACCTTCCTCATAGACGCTGATATAAAATTCTCGTCCATACACGACAAAGAAAAAAAAATCATCTCACCGACGCATACCATCGTTTCTATCTCTCTCAAGAGAGCACACCCCCTTGAGAGCCGCTTCTTGTCTGAGAAGCAGACACAGTCACAATAAAGGCCATGGTGAACAAGAGCATCGACGTCAAGGTACGTCCGCTCGCCAGCGTCAGCCTTGAGAAGGGAAGCCTCGTCGGCGCTGCAAACATATACATCAACAAGGACTCGTACATTGCCCTCACAGGAACCGCTGAGAATGGAAAGCCCTGCATCATCGAGAAGCTTGACCAACCCGAGGACGGCCCGGTCCTGAAGCGCGAGGCTCTGCTGTGCATCCTGTCGGACAAGAATGTCAGCCCCAACGTCGCCTTGATGAGCCGCGCATTCCAGGATGCCACCGGCTTCAAGATCACCGACAAGGCACGCATATACCCGTCCGATGCGCCCATGCTAGACACAACCGAGGTCGTCGTCAAGGATGTGACTGAGAAGGCGGGGCCGTTAGCTGCCAGCGATCTCCTTAACTGGGCGTTTCCCATCGGCCTCTATCTCGGTACCCTCCCTTACCCCTTACAATCTTCGCCTGGAGTCTGAGGACAATCACACTGCTGATACTCTCTCATTCAAATACAGAGCGTGCAGGTCATGTATTTCCCGGCATGACCTTGGAGGGAGTCTCAGCTGCCCATCTCCGCCGCACATTCAAGGTATCCTCTGTCGACGGCCAGGACAGCGGACTGGGCCGCTTCGTCCGCTCCAGCACCACCATACGCTTCATCCAGGAAGGTGAAGAGGACCCCAGCGCCCAGCCTAAGGATGTTCAACCGCCGGGAGACCTTGTACTCAAGGATATTCCGGGACTGAAGGCCCAGGTCCCCGCCATCAATGAGTTCCTCGAGGCCTTTACCGGCCCCTTCCTTTTCCACGACGAGCGCCAATCCTGTGGAATCGCCCTGCACGGTTGCCATGGATCGGGGAAGACGTTTGTGCTGAAGCGCCTGGCCGGTACCAACTGGGGTCGCGTCTTCTGGATCAAGCCAGCGGACAAGCTGACAACCGTCCGCGAGACACTCAAGCAGGCCCAGGCCCAACGCCCGTCCATGGTTCTCATAGATGACCTCGAGGAGCTCATCACCCCGGAGAGGACGAACCGCGATGCCGTCATAGATACCATCTGCGATGAGATGGACAGTCTCTCAGCCGAGGCATTCGAGAACAACGCCCTCCCTCAGGTCGTCATCGTCGCCACATGCTCCGACTACATGACAAATATGCCCCGGAAGCTCCAGGGCCGTAGCAGATTTTACGAAAAGGTCCTTATTCCCATTCCCCGCGCTTCCGATCGCCTCGACATCCTCAAGGGCTGCAACCCGCCCCTACCTGCTGAGGACAAGGAGGCCTGCCTGAGAGACATATCACTCAAGACGCACGCGTTCACCGCCGGTGACCTCTACCACCTCGTGCGCAATGCAGTCAAGCTCAAGGCCACCAAGGCCATCCGGGCGGGCGCGGATCGGCACGGGGACAACGCCAGCTCCACCATCACCCGTGAAGACATGGATCAGGCCCTAGGTATGACGCGACCCACGGCTATGGACGACATCAATCTCCAGCCTCCTACCATTCACTGGCAGGACATCGGCGGTCAAGAGGAGGTCAAGAAGGCCCTTTCGAAGATAATCAAGTACACCAAGGTAAGGCTTCCTGCCTCCATTCCAATCCAATTCCACACCTGACACGACATGTAGGAGTCGGACCACCCAACGCCTCGCATCATCATCCGCCCGCCCAAGGGACTACTCCTGTACGGGCCCCCGGGATGTTCCAAGACGCTGTCTGCCCAAGCCATGGCCACGGAATCGGGATTCAACTTCTTCTCAGTCAAGGCTGCCGAGCTGCTTAACATGTACGTGGGCGAGTCGGAGCGTGCGGTACGCAACCTGTTTGAGCGCGCCCGCAACGCCACGCCCTCCATCATCTTCTTTGACGAGATAGACTCCATCGGCGGTTCGCGATCTTCAGGCCCGGGAGCCTCATCCCGCGGCGGCGGCGGTGTCAATATACTCACCACGCTACTCACCGAAATAGATGGCTTTGAGACTCTGACGGGCGTCATCATCCTTGGCGCTACTAACCGCCCGGACGCCATGGATCCGGCCCTCCTGCGTGCCGGCCGCTTCGACAAGGCCGTGTACGTAGGACCACCCGATCTCGCTGCCCGCGAGGCCATCTTCCGCGTCCACCTCCGAGGGAAACCCATGGCCGACGATGTGGATCTCCACGCTCTCGCCGTCCGCGCAGAGGGTCACTCGGGAGCAGAGATCCAACACGTCTGCCACGATGCCGCTCAGGATATCCAGGACCGCTACGATGATGACGAGACGGGGACCGCCAAGCTAGAGTTTACAATGGCGGACCTCACGGATGCACTGGAGAGGGAACCCAAGGCTATAACGTCGGTTATGCTGAATGAGTATACCACATGGATGCAAAAGCATATGAAGAGGTAGTTTCAGGGAGACACGAATGCAGAAGCACAGCAAGAGGCGGTTTCAAGGAAGGACACGGTAGAGAATTGCACTTGCCGATATGGTATGACATGAAACATGGTGTTTATGATTGATGCATAGGTATGAACCATGTAGGGAATCTCGGGAGCAAGGCGTAATTATGAGGAGTCATGCAAGACATTGAGAAAAGAGGGCTTGCTAGTAACACGTCATGTTTGCAATGCCAACGCACATACCCCAATGATACGCGCAAGGTACAGAAGAAGAAGGAAGGGGAAAAGAGAAGGAGTTGTAAACTAGTACGTTGTCAAGAACAATAAATAAAAGGAGGCCCATCCAGCCCAACCTAGCCGACCAACCGACCAGCATCAACCGACCGAGACGCCATCGCCCAAAGGTGTGTTTGACAGAAGAACATGATATATAGAGAAAGAAAAAAAGAGGTTTACATGTGTGATTGATGGAAAGGGGGGGGGTTGTTCTTTTTTTTTCTTTTTTCTTTTCTTGAAGCTTCCATCCAGAGGAATGAAGGACAGATATTTGATGATTGAAGACGATAAAAATAAGAATAAAATAAGAAAGAGGAAGAGGGAAAGAAGAAGAGGAGAAGATTGAAATCATGATCGATCATCACCGCCTCCACCCGATTTGAGGGCGGTAGATGATAGACTTATCGTCATCTTCCTGGTAGACGACTTACTACCCGATGATGAGGAGGAGGACGAGGTGGATGGGGAGAAGCTCTTGCGTCGACGAACTGCTGCCGTCGATGGCAAGTCGGATGGTGCCGTTGCCGCTGTTGTGCTGTTTCGTCGTTTGCTGTGTGATAGTCTGTCCATCTCGTCTTCTTCTTCGTCGTCTTCTTCCCTGCGACGTTTGGGTGGTGCGGATGCGGATGCGGGGGATGGGGTGGATGCAGCAGCGGTGGCGGTGGCGGTGGCGGGATCGATATTTTCCAGATTGTCGTCTTCTCCTTGCGCTTGTTCCTCCTCCTCCACCACCTCCTCCTCCTCCTCTTCCTCCCCCTCTTCTCCCTCTTCTTCGTTATCTTCGTCCGATGGGTAGTCGACTAGTTTGGAGTAATTACTGCTAGGTGTGCTTGCGCCGTTTGAGTCTGATGATGCTGGTTGTTGGGTGTGGTTGTTGTGGTTATTGTTGCCGTTGCCGTTGCCGTTGCTGTTGCTGTTCTTGTCGTCGTCGTCGTCTTCTGGATCAGACGTGTTCCAGTACTCTTCCTCTGCCGGGTCGATGGATATGTGCTCCATCATCCTGACGTTGGGGGCCGGCTGGTGCTTCCTAGCACTGCTGCTGACGCTGGCGCTGTTAGTGCTGCCCATGTCCTCGTCCGTCTCGAGGAAGTAGTCCACGTTAGAGGTGTACCCCCCCGTCTCGTCGTAGCGCGTCACCATGTCGCAGAACGTCGACATGTACGACACCTGTATCATCTGCTCCCGGTGGTTCTCGACCAGGTACTTGATCAGGTCCTTGATATTTTCCTTCTTGATGTACTCGAAGAGTTCCAGCGAGGCTGAGCTGAGCAGATTATCGCGTGAGATGGATCGTGAGAGCACCTCTAGGATCGGTCCCAGCACGCGCTTCTCTGCTAGGTGTCGAATGAAGAATTCCTCTTGCATGCTGATCAGGGTACGGACGAATCGGATGGCGACTGCGAGGGCACTGGTCAGTTTACTTTTGATTCCTTTCCCCCTCGCTCTCGTATGCGTCCCCGTCTTTCTTTCTCCTCTGCTCTCATTCTGTTTCGTTACACTAGAAGGAAGAGACTCACCAAGCTGCAGAAACTTGTCGGGCGATCCGAGAAGCTGACACACCCTCGGCACAATGTTATTGTTGAGCACAAAGAAGCGACTGTACTGGTGATGCTGGCGGATGAAGAAGCACAGGATCTCGATGAGGTGGCTGAACATGGAGGCCTGCTGAGCCGGGAAGGTCAGGTCGGTGCGCTTCTCGAGGTCGATCAGCGGCTTGAACAGCCGGAGGGCCGAGCTCTCGTAGAAGCGCGTGAGGAACAGCTCGTGCTGCGGGTCCGTGGCCTGAGCCCTCTGCCTGGCGAACTCGGCGGCGCCGTTGGGGCCTCCGCCTTGTGCGGCGAATTTCTCGGCCATCTGCTGCTGCTGGTGCAGGGGGATGCCGTGGTCGAGCAGGACCTTGATGGCCTCGGATATCTGCGCCTTGACGCCCAGGTCCACCTCCGCGAGGAGCAGGTCGATGAGGGAGTCCGTCAGCGGCGGTTGGTCTTCGTTCATCTGGCGGTATATGGTGTGGCGGATCATCTGGGGGTCGTGATCGATGACGGAGATGAGGATGTCGGTGGCGCCGACGCGGGCCCGGACGTCGCCGCTCTTGAGGCCAAAGTTGATGACAAGCAAGAGTCCGTGGACGAGGAAGTTGTTGTACAGGCTCTGGCGGGCCGGCGGCTGGATGTTCTTAGCGATTGAGCAGCACTGCTGGATGAAGAGCACAGCTTCCGTCTTCTTCTTGTCGCTGGGCGGGGTTGTCGCCGGATCCGACGTGGAGTTGAAAATGCCAAACAGCTCGGCCAGGAAGGACGCGTTACCCTGCAGGTGCTGCACTATGTCGACTTGGTTGAAGAAGATTAACGAGTTGAGCACCGAGAAGGTCGGGTCGTCGAGGATACGCGCCAGCACCACATCCTTGAGGTACTGTAATCGGTACGTCTGGTGGATCTTGTGGCGTGTCTGAGCGTCCTCGATGGGCACCACCTCCTTGTACCGGCCCTTGTTGTCGAGCCAGTGGCGGTGGTTGGCCTTGTGACTCGGGAAGTCCGGGTCGTACTCGAGGGCGCCGACTACGCCGAGGACGCAATCATCCGACACGGCGTGCTCGATGATGGAGGTGTCGTTGAGCAGCAGTATCGTCTTCATGATGTTGCACAGCCTGTGCAGGTCGTGCAAGCTCTCTAGGTCCTCGGCCATCTCGACCAGCGGTATCAGCTTGCTGATGTAGTCGTCCGCCATGATGGATTTCGACAGAGCGTCCCGCCCGTTAGCCGTCGAGCTCATGATGCGCATGCTCGACTCGATCTCTGGCAGGTTTCCGAGTTCGGCGGCCGGTAGCGTGATTGTCAGCGGTCCTTCAATCGTGATATCCTCGGACAAGCTGTCGTCTGCTCCTCCAAGGCTGTTCTGGAAGGCCTGCTGGACGTTGCTGACGAAATGCCTACAGGTTGTCAGAACTGGACATCTTGAAAATTCTGCACAGCAGCTTCTCCTGAGGGCCGGGGACATTACCATATCAATGAGCAGCCCTCGGCTTCCTGGAAACTCAGTGCCATATCGATGTGTGTTCCGGGTTCCTGCCACACAATGAGTGTGTCTATGGTGGCGTCAGTGTCGGCTCGAAACCTGTGGTGGGACCAAGGAACGAGAGGCTGTATTACCTTGCTGCTTCTGGAAGCCATCTTCCTTGTGGATCTTGGTTTCCAGGAGAAGTCGGTCGGGTTGGTCTTCGGATTCGACGATCACTTTTGGTTCTTTGCGGCCTTCTGGTGTCTGTTTCACGCGAGTTAGTCATTCCGGATGTTGCTGAAGAGGGGGGATTGGCAGGTGGATGAGAAGAGAGCGAAGTACCTCTGTGAAGATGGCCATGCAGAAGCCGGTACCACGGTCGAACCAGTCATGGTTGCGAAGCTCGTAGACCTTGACGCGCTTCTTGTCCGTGGCCTGATGAGGCACTGACTGTGCCATCATCAACGGCTCGGATTGTCCCTCGGCGGGGATGCTGTTATAGGCCACCAGGTCGGGCGCGATGTCGAGGTGCTGCTGGAGGGAGAGCTCTGACGTGGTGGTCTCGTTCTGGCTCAAGACGGTAAGCGCCGCCACGGTGCCGTCCGAGTAGGCGCGTCCAACAGTTGCGGTTGGACGCAGAACAGACGGAGCGTGAAGTGTGTGGGCGTCCTCGTTTTAGCGATGGGAGAGAACGGTCGCTTTGATTTCGGGCGCGTCGCGCAACTCTTTTTCCTTTTCTTTGTCGGTGACGACGCGAGCGGGGGCGGGAGGGATCTATACAGAATCGGCCAAGGTGCGCGCCATGCGAGAACGAAAGAATAGAACAGAGTGTATCAGACGCTCGAATAGAGGCACGCGGTACCATAAATCGGCTATCCTCTTGATTGCGCTTATGGCGATGTTTCCGGTGTCGGCCGAGGGCACGCGACTGGTTTCCGAAGGTCCGGTTCGATCGCGTGGGGGGTGGAGGGAGGGACAGCCGCGACGAGGGGTCGTCGTTGTCGTTTAGATGAAGCGACCGTGGAATTAGATGCAGACGAGGGGGGGGGGGGGGGGGGG